CTTTTGTGTTGGTCATCAGTTGATTTGAATTGAAGGTATTCTTCACTTGTAGAAATGATGAACTTGCTCGGCCAACCGCACCTTCATATCTGCATCAGATCCACTTTGTTTATCAATGATGCTTCTCATATATGAAGGGATATAAATATCTTCCAAAGTTTCTTTATCGGATGTGGTTTGGTTGGTACATTCTGTGTTGTATCGGAGAATCTTTCTTTTCGCTTTGTGTATGTTGAGATCTACCGCTGCTGAGGCAGCTGCTACACTGGTAGTTTTCTTATGTATTTTTGTTGCGTGAGCGATAGAAGAGCCAGATCATCTGTGAAGCCCAAATCATTCTGCTGTATCCGAGCTGTCCACTGCGTTCCATGTTCCCCCTGAGAAGTTGAGATCTTCATGGCTCAGTCAATCACCAGAAGAAAAATGACAAAATGGAGCAAGCAACATTGACTGGCATCAATTTTCTCTTACAATGAGTAGTCTGTGAGCTGTCCTCCATGCATGACATTGCATTCTGATCTGTTATAAGAACTCCTTGTAATGTTGAGTATCTTTTCAAGTACACCAGATTGTCAAAGAAGCCTCCATAGTGTCATCCTGTTCACTCTATTAAATGCGTTCTCGTAGCCAATGAAGTTGATGTACAGTGGTGACTTCCATCCATTCGACTGTTCCACAATGATCCTTAGTATTACAATTCGGTCGGCACATAATCGATCTTTGAGGAATCCAGCCTGTTGATCTCGAAATTAGGCGTCTACTGAATCTTCATTCTGAATACTTTTTCCAGCACTAAAAGTAGAGTGATGCCTCTGCAGCTCTCACATTTTCTGAGATCGCCTTTCTTTGGTATCGTTATGATATATCCTTACTGTCATTCTGTTGGTACTTTTTCTTCCTCCCAAATCTCTATGAAGCCAGTATGGAGCAGCCTGACATTTACTTCCGTGTCTGCCCTTTCCCTAATTTCCATTCTGATTTCATTTGCTGTAGGGTCATCATGAATTGGTAGGTTTGTAGGTGCTGCTTTGATGACCAGTGTTTTTATTGTGTTCACTATTAAATTTTCAATATATGGAAACTTACAGTCCAAGTAAAAGCCTAAATCTTCTGTTCACCTGGTTTCATTAGTCCTATCAAAGTTACTGACAGGAGAGAAATGTGAACATATGTGGATGAGTGAAAGGTAGTTACCGAAGTTGAATAAATTTGTCAAGCCCTTAAAGTAAAAGATCTTAAAAAATTTAGCAAAACATTTAAACATATTTATTTTTGTAGAATTATTTAGCCGAGAGACAATGGTTATTTCAAACATGCATTGGAATGTAGGAAATGTGTTTTATAGTTTTCTCACTAGAAAATCGAACATTGCTTTAAAACTAGTTATTGTCTGTTGAATCACTTTCACAATATATTGTTAGGTTTCACATGACATTATCACGTTTTAGACATAGGTGAAGGGACGTTTGTTGAACGCCATTTTCACATAACTGATTAGTTTTTCAACATATATAGTTAATGGTTACGTCATCATTGAAAATATTGAGGGTTTACTGTAATTATATTAGTTTTATATAACTACTCATATCATTATGTTTAGTTACTTGTATTTTATATTCGAAATATATCAACCTGGTTATGACTATATTTCGAGTGTTCAGTTTTTCTGTTTCTGTTATGTAACTGGTTATATTGTGTAGGCTTACTAGACTGCCATGTTGTTGAAATATTGCAAACTAGTTGAATTATTTAATCAACTTTACGTCACTGAGTAAAATTCAGTTGTGGTTAGCTTCATCTATTGAATGATTGTAGTAGTTAAAATCATCCATGTCATAGAAATCGTTATTTAAAGTCAATTCAATTCGATTACATGTATTCTTTGTTCGTGAACGATTAATTCAAAGAAATTCACTGATGGTTTCCGACAAGTTAGTCAGCTGATAGCAACTTTTAGTTTGATTTTTAAGAGGTTGAACTATCGCGTTGTTGATATTCTTGACTGAATTTTGATCAGTCTTAGTTGGTGTATGTAAATGTTTTAAGGATTTCCTCGATATAGCCATTTTATTATAAAGTTTATCTGGTGAATAGTTGAATCCCTAGTTCAATTCCCGGTGTATATATCACTATTAGGATGAACAAACATCCAGATGACCAATCCACAATAGAATGTATGGCGTCTCTCAGATCCCCCTGCTAACCTCATTCCATCTATTCTAGACACTCCTGTGACTGAAAGAGGATTATTTGGAATTTTTACTAAAATTACAGATTATTCATTGGATAACTCGATAAAAATGTGAATCACAGAAAACTATTCGTTCATTATATGAAAATGGTCAATTTGTTCTTTGAAATAAAGAGAGCAGATGATGTACACTTATGTGTTATATGAAGCCAATCAATTTAAAATCCAAGTCACTGTTATAAATTATTTTTAACATTTACGATTAAACTTCAAAAGATAAGTAAGATTTAAGAATTTTCAAGACATATGATTATTATTTTGATAAAACAATGAAGAGTCATAGTTGGTCTGAAAAATGTAATGTATTTGCGCTATACATTTTGAACAACAGGCCTAGACGTTGCTCGAACGATAACATTGCATCCCATTGAATTTATCGATTCACATGTTTGTGTGGACATATACACAGGGAGGAGTAATCTAACTCTGAAATCAAGGGTTATGGGACATGTACCTGAATGGCTTCAAAATCAGTTAGTAAAATACAACTGAAACAGGGGATACGATTGACATCAATACAACCTTTAAAACATTCTATGTGTACAGAAACAGTTTATTATAACCTTGAGTCCACTCTGGTAATCAATAAGCCATGTTATGGCCTAGGGTAATGTGACGATTTCCTGCTCTTTCCTATTCTTTCTATGTTAATTCTCTCTCTCCTCTATTAACAATTATCACCTGCTGTTTATTTGAACTTTTATTTAATTGACCTTTCATTAATTTTCAAATAAAATGCCTTGACAAGTATGTGTGACCAGATTGTTCGAAATATCTGGCGCAAACCACATTTTTCAAATGATTATTCATTTCAGATGTATGTTAAAACACTATCACTTATTCAAATTACGGAAGATTTTTTTTTCCATACTTCTCTGTTTTTCACATCATTTCTTGAATCAGATAAACTGAAGTGTGTACTGATATAGCAATTTTTTATAGTATAAGATTCCTCAGTAGTAAGCATCCACAATCCAGCATATAGGATTGGAACCCAGAAATTCGGACATCACGAACGAATGCCTAACCACTGAGTCAGCATCTAATGCAGTACAATTTTAACTTCGATAAAGCCACGATATTCCACGACAATTTACCAGTGTTTTCGACAGGTTCTGTACTCACACCCGATACGGTTAAGCTGTAATTGTTACGGCTTCGCACAAGAACAGAAATTCCCTACATATACTCAAGGTTGTAGATCAAAATAGATTTCGTGAACGCACATCATCGGTGATTAAGAACCTTTCATTATAGAAACGTCCAAAAAAGCTCAAATGTATTTCTTTAATTGTCTGTTCTGTTGCAAGGATCACCTTGATTTTAAAATCTCATATTAATAAATTTAGTTTGAACACAAAGCTACAATTTTTAGTGTTTTTCTCTAGATATATATATCACTTCCATAAAAAACATCTAGATTGTTTTATCCTACTCATACTCTCTTGAAATCCTTACGCAAAAATCAATGTGTTCGATTTAGAATTAAATAATCAGAAAATTTCCCATTTTTAATATCTGTAAACACCGTTCAATATACTAATAGAAAAAAATAGTCGTTTCAGAATAAATGTGAACAGAAACAAACTACGAACTTATTTTAATTTGTTTGTCGAGTTTCAAATTCTTTTCCCTATTTCAAAAGTTACTATCGTTGAACAACAACTTTCATCAGACTTTTTTCTAACCTTCACAGACTAATCTGATGATTGTATAATGAAATTAAATACGAAGCCCAATAAAATTACAACTGACGGTACGATTCCAAAATATCAAGAGATCAGCTAACTGATTTCTGATATCAGTAAATAGATTCTGAAGCCTGTGTATTTTATTATGAGGTATACAGTATTTTCACGTTTCAGAATTTAATTGGTTACTGAATTGTGAAATCGGCACACGAACGGAAGTATGATCAAACATACAGGTCACCTACTTTTTAAAATGTAAAAATTTTCGAAACGCCTTCATGTTTCAGACTTGTTTAAATAGAATAGTTATGAACCTAAATTGTGTATGCTCAAGAGAAATTACGAAAGGCTAGTAACATGTTAGGATGCCGAATGCTGGAAATTTCAAACTGAAACATTTTACTTGTTGATATATCTTTCTCTCTGTAAACCCTTTGAAAAAAGTCACGAATATACTGAAGTACATTCATTTAATATCACTTGAGCTGACGGTAAACTTTCCTCATCCAAGATGGGTGACTATTCAAAAACCGTTTATACAATATAAATTTTGAATAATTTGAAAATGACTACAAGTTGAATAGAAACTTACTGCAGTACTGAACAAGGAATGCTGCGAACCCTTAAACAAAATTTGCGGTAATAAACAAAGACGTGACCAGTGGAGTTTAACCCTGTTGGGTGTAGGCAGCAACTACCAAAGACGAATGGGTGAGGTCGCACAAAATCCCTAGATCCTTAGAGTTAGACATTAACACCGTTGGATGCCAGCCCATTGGTCTAATGCTTAGGCTTTCGCGCACAATACCGAAGGTCCCGGGTTCGAATCCTGCGAGGAGCAGGAGTCGCGTTCGCGCACTGCTGACGAGTCCCATTCCAGGACGAAACGTCCAGGTTTCTAATGGTGGTCTAACAGTGATTGATTGATGACCATAAATGTGTAATAAACAAAGCTGTTTTATTATTTTTATTAATACTAGTTTAAACATCAGTTTATCGTAATTTTAAAGATGCCTATTTTTTTTTAAAATTCTGTATTGAACAATAACAATGAAAAGAAACTGGCCTATTAATTGCCAATGCTAGAATTGTCGATCATCCAATAATTTATGTCAATGAAAGTTTTACCAAAATGACAAATTATACAAGTCGTGAAATGATGCACCAGAATGCGATATGTCGTCAAATGCATGGTAAACGAACATCAATTAATTCAATTGAACGATTACAAAATGCATTGAATGAAGGCTATTTTGATCAAGTTGAAATCACTTTATATAAAAAAAATCGTGAGTTCTAATAAGTTATATTATTATGTATTTATAATGATTGGTTGATTGATTTAATAAACACTTGATTTATTGAATATTTTATTGATTAAATGATTTTTTATTTGTAAATTACTGAAAAATTATTTTTATATTGTTAGTTGTAAACAAATTTGTTTTGTTAAGATTGTTGACATTGAACTAGATATGATAAAGTATACTCTGATTTAATGTTTATAAATATTATTTCTTTGAAAGTGCTGACTTAAACAAAGTGAAATTCAATATACTCATTATTTTGATGCTTTTCTTTTGAATGTAATCAAATGTGACTAGCTTAAACCAATAGAAAATAAATTTAAGATGATATTAACTAACAAATAAGTCAGTGAATTGTTTTAAATTCAATATTTTCACATTACTGATATTCAAATCTAAAGTGACCAGATACTGTTGATAAATCGGCCTGTCCAAAGAATGTTAGAATATTATTTTTATGAATGAATGTGAATATGAACATGGAAATGTAAATTTATCACTCTAACACATTTTAAAACTGACATAAAATTTATCTTATACTTTAGCACTCGATACTATTCAAGTCTACAGTTACGATTCATCATGACAGTCAATGATGTTCTGAAGATGATTTTGAAAAGGATGAATAGATTTATTCATATCAAAGAATTTTTACTTTCATTCATATTGTCTTAACTAATTAAGGCTTTAATGGTTTGGCAGCTTACTGAATTCATGAAATCCAGATTAACAGTTTAACAAAACAAACGAGAAATTTATGGTTTCTAAGTCTTCAAGCGAAATTAAATAGCGTATTATTTAATTACGATGAATGATGTTACTGAATATGAAACTTAAATTTTTAAAGCTTCAAAAAATAACTTGTTATTATATTATGCTTTCTTTTTCGTTGAAACAGAATGTTTAAGGAAGAGATTTTAATCATCTTTGTAGAAACACCAATTTTACTCTGATTATTTTGACCGAAACGAGATCATTTTCTTATTAACAGATACAATTTCGTGCCAAATCCTAAAGATTAAAGACAATTACTTTACTGTTGAATCATGGCTATTCATTTGTTATCTGATAAGTAACTTAAATTAGTACTATCACAGATGAATATTTTTTATATTAAAAAACCAACTCTGACAATCTAATGCAATTCACTAGTTATCGTGTAGTCTTGTTTCTTGATAAATATTCTTTTGGAATTCACTAGTCACTTTTCTGAGTGAATCATCAGACTAATCACTACGTTCATTTCAGAAAATCCATATCTCACTTAAGTTACCATGATAATTATCTGTGAAATAATTAATTACTAAAGTTTTAGCTAAGTATGCAATGGAAAAATACAAAGAACCAATATCTAAGTCTTTGTACGATGTCACTTAATAAGGGAAATCGTTAAGCATCTATGTAGGAGTGAAAGAAAACCGCCTATCAATGGGGAATATTAGTCATCACCCAAGTACTTTTCTCGATAAAATCACTCTTTAGTACAAAGTTGAAATTTCATTATAAGTAGTATACAGAAATATGTAATTTTTTTTCATTGCTACTCACCTTTAAAAAGTAACTGTTTCCAGTGTTAACTATAATCCAGTACAATATACCTGTTGATATTAATCTTTAATCCTTTATTGTAACGTAGATAGATAAAGATCAGCAGATACACAAAAAATGTAGATGGAATTTAGAAAATAAAGGGAAAACTATAGCAGTTAATATTAATTAATTAATTAATTTTAAAATTTAATTGATAAGAGAATTTTTAAAATACATTTCCTTGTCTACTTTCTGTTGGTCCAAAAAACGTTGAAATAGATAGTAATCAATTTCCGCTCTCATTGCATTTTGAAAGAAAGATGGCATAAAAAAATGTAATATAAAATGACTGAATGAACAACAATGAAAAAATGTAGTTTTTTTGTCGTTTGAATAAAACTTTGTATTTTATTAAGAAATGAATAATTTTTTAAATGTTTGTTTGATCTAACTGATTGTCTTTATCATAGGATTATTACATGAGAAAATGTTTGATGTCTATTATGCACTAGATACACTAGAATATAGTATAATTTTTTAAAAAAATTTGCAAAATAAAATAATAAATATTAAATAAATGAAATAGCATAAAACTATTGAATATCATCTATAAACTGTGAGTAGAATATCTTGATTTTGCGTTAAATTTTGATAATGTCTAGTATTGGAATAAATGATACTGATTTTGTTGAATTTATGACTCGATAGTTAAATCTATCCACGGCTTACAGTGTGGTTTTTATTTTTGTAAAGTTAACCTAACATAGTTATAATATTTTTCCCCGTTTTCTAATAATTTTTGGAATCAATATTAAGTAGTGTTTGCAAATATTTGGTTAGATGCACTAACGTCTTAAATGGTACGGCCAATCAGTAACAAATATATATAACTAATTGGCGGATTCATGATCGAGGAATGTTTTTGTGAAGTTTATATATCACTAGCAGGTGGTTAGTTTGCTTCTGTGAATCATTGAGACAGTACAAGATTGAATGATATTCTCTTACCAATTTTATCAGTGTATATGTTAATGTTATAATTATGAAAATGGTTTCCACGGTTCATACTGAACATTTGTCAATATTTGAACGGATAGTTCAACACAGATAGGGCACAAATTACATAAATGGTACAAAATGTCAAAATTTTATTTTAAAAATAACTTTACTTCACAAATCTCCTGAATTCCAATTCAATTAATTAATTAATTACAAGTTAATTATTTACAAGTTTCAAACTTCACATTATGATTCATGGAAAAGTATTCAGCTAGGTATTTTCACTGGTTTATTGTTTAATTCAATATTGAAGTGTACTATAAAATTATACAGAGAAATCGTTTTTTCATCAAAACTAATCAAAAATATTTAAAATTTTTTATTGACTTTTTTAGTCGCAATTATTTTCATAATGCTTATAACAATTATTAACTATTGAACATAAATTCCCTAACAGTTAATCATTTTATAAACACTACATCATTATTGCCTTTTTGAAATTTCTTCTAACATTCTAATCGCATTTTCCCTTGAAAACTTTATCATTCATAAACTTTAATGTTTAAACTATTTTCTAATGGCTATTATTAATTGTTTTATAATTGTTTTCCGAATTTCATTTGACTGAAGGTTGGTATTTATTGATCGATTGGTATTTTAGGAAAAATTATGAAAATCGTCAATTTTTTTTTAATACATATCCACAAATATTATCTGCAATTGTCCGTGTTCCCTGCATTTTGCTTAAAATCTATTTAGTGTTTGTAATTTAAGTTAGATTCAAATGAAATTACTATTGTTATTATTATAAATATCGAAATAGAAATTTTTACGATTTATGATATTGTTTCCTCACTTTTATTTTTTTAAAACAAAAACTGTTTCATAGTCAAGTGATAATCACTAAATTGAGAATCAAGAAAAAACTAATGAAATAATAGAGAAATAATCAAGTAAAAAAAGAAAATGAATGTTTGTAATTTGTTTGAATTGTTGTTTTCAATATTCATTCTAGATTAAATTTGCTCATTAAAATGTTAATTTATTTATTTGAAGTTAATTAGAAATCGTTTACAATCAAATAAATTTTAAATAATAATAAGAAGAAAAGATTCATTTTCGACAAATACTTTTTTCTCCACATATAGTGAACAGGCATTTTTGTTTTAAATCTCTGATGCATGCATCAAGTATTGGGAATAATCATGAAATGATTGATGTTTCTCTCATGTGAGCGCATTACACAATCTTAAAATACTGATTTGTCGAAGTGTATTTAAATGTTGAATATTCGTTTAGGTGGTGGTTGCTCACCTATAGCATTAAAGCATAGTAAATTTACCATTACATTCTTAGCACAATGAGAAAAAAATGAATATTCAGTTGATTAGCTTTAATATCACAGATGAGTGAATTTCAAATCAGTAATTGAGTAACATGCGATTTAAAATAGCATTGCTTTGTTCTCTAATATAGTTATGTGTGTATTATTAGATGGTACTTACGATGAAACAGCTGTTTGGTTGTTGTAATCTTAGATGAATGGATGAAAACCTTCTTAAATTTAAAAATTTTATAAATAGATGAAAACATACCTGTCACAGAGCCAAGATTGACCACTTAATATAAAAAGGAGTTAGTGAGGTAGACAACCTGATGTGTTGAAGTGTTTGTCAAGTAACGCGGACATGTTGATTCTATACATCGGAATAAAATAGAGATGTATTATGCACGACTTTAATCAAGTTCTGCAGAAGTTAAAACTAAAGGTTCAGCATCTTTTCAACAGCGTCACACTCTGTCATCTAGTTGGTAGTGAACTCACTGTCAAAAATTTGAAATCCTTCTATGTAAATAATTAGACAATTATTTTCGAATTAGTGCGCTTTACCGGAAAAATTGATACAATAGATTTTGATAGAACAGTAAGAAGACGTAATTGATCCGAAGAATGTGACGTATTTGTGCTATACATTTCGAACAAATCTGGTTACACATATTTACTTGTCAAGGCATTTTATATGAAGATTAATAAAAAGGTCAACTAGATAAAATTTCAAATAGACATAAGGTGATAATTGTAAATATAAGAGAGAGAAAATTAACGTAATATGAAAAGAATAAGAAAGGGTAGGAAAATTGTCACATTATCCTAGGCTTAAAGATTACCCTAGAGTTAAATTATATTTATATATTCACTATAAAGGTTAGTTTTGCCCTCTTGTGGTAATTTCAATTTCCAATACTTAATTACATTTATCTCGTTTTGTGCAACCACTTATGAAGTTTTGTTATTTTTTCTTACACCTTATCTGAGCATTACTCTTTTCTACTGCTCATTTTTACTTCTTTCCACGCACAAAAACATCTCTATTCATCAATCTTTAAATCATTATTAATCTTATCTCTAGGCTTTTAGCGAGGAATCTATGAAACAGATGAAACATATTTGTCAGCTATGGCTGTTGTTCTTGTTTTAATCAATTAATTATCAATAAACTATCAAACAAGAAATATTCAATATTTTAGGTCATTTGTATGTGATAATTACTTTTTCATATAGAATGCTTACTGACACCCCTAACTTTATTGGGCAAATACTAATTAATTTGTTTACTTTCTTTAGGTTCGATGATATGGGTTATTATGTGTGTGGCTCCAGTTGAAAATGACAAACATGAAACACCTTTATATCTTATTCTATTCTATGATATCTCACCACTCAGACAACCACTGGATGATGAGACACTTAGTGGAAGTAAGTCTGTAATAATTATTAACGATTTAGAGGCAATTACTACTTTTTATTAAACTAGAAAGTAACTTAAAATTTTGAGGCGAAAATATCTATTTGTATGCAGCTATAACTTCCAGTCAACATACTTACAATATAGCTTAACGCAGTAGATATCTACTTCATGGATATTAAATAGAAGTCAGATAAGGGAGAGTCAAAATTAAATCAGGATAACAAACTAAGGATTGTATTTTCCAGATTTCTGACCAACTCATCAAAAATATAGAATACTTTTGTAAATGATCACTTCAGCATTATTCAAAGAATTCATTGAAAGGACAAAGAAACTAAAATTAAAACATGCACTTTCAGAGCTGTATCTGAAATAGTAATTTATCTTAACTCCAACCTGAATTACCAAAGTTTTTACCCTTAAATTTCAATAAATCTAGACGTATAATGAAATTGCGGCTGAAAGGAGACTTTTGGAAATATTAAATTTATTGATTATAGTCGGTATCTGCTTTTCAGTCATCAATTGTCAAGTACATGATTATCAGCAGAAATATTTTCGAGTGATGTATGACATATTCCTTGTGTGACTGTTAATGACAGTGTTATCAATCTCTGTAGAACCAGATTACAAGAAGCATAAAGAACTTATGTACTTTATTCTACAGTTTCGCTTCGTAATGCTATCTGTGATAAAAACGACAGTTTAACTATGATCTTGATAACATATCACATATATGCCTTCGAACTTTCATTTGTAATAAGTAAAGATAAGTAGGTTTTACAAATCAGCTAATTTTATAAGCTTGTACTTTGTTTAATAATTAGCATAAAGTCACTTTAAAACAAAAGTTTCTAATCATTAAATTGTGAAAAAATTATTTCTGAAAGTATATAAGTCAGTAATAGTTTGCATGTTTACGTTTCAGTTGCCGAAAACAACTGTTTTGTTATTTATTGAAATGGGTTCATTTACTGGATAGATAGAGATTATTGAGGATTGATTGAGAAGGTCCTACAGATAACTGTATTCATCGATGATTCAGGTTGGTATTTCACGCACAAGAATTATTCTTGGGTCTGTGTAAGCTATACAACTAATTTGTACAAAATGAAACTTCATTCTGTAAAGCAGTACAAAGCATATTAACAATAGAAATTTTAATAATATTTGCTTAAATGTATGAATCTTAACGTTTTCTTTTTCTTTAAACTCCGTTTTTATTCAAAGGTTTTAGTAAGTTTGCCAAGTTGGCACGTTCAGTAGCGCGTAATAAAACTGTGTTGTCACAAGTTGAACTGGACGACTCCTTGGTTGCCGTAAGCAATTTCCGTATTTGTATAATAACTGTATAATAATTTTGAAGTGTTACAATTTTATTGAGCTTTATTTCTAAAAAAAACTGCATTTTTTAAAAGTAAAGAGCTGTTCGAAACTAGTTACGCTCATATGTATCTTTTTTACATCGTTTAAGTCGTATATCAATAAATTTCTAACAGTATGAACTCTAAATTAAATAAAATTCAGAACTGATCTGTCAAGTTTAGTTCTAAAATTAACGTGATATAAGATACTTTAAATGATATCACAAACGAACGATTATCCAGTTTACGTATCCAAACTTCAATAAAGCTGGATGAAACACTCATTTGGAAATATGAGAACCATCGATATTTTACTGACACTTCTGTTTAATATAACCGCCAAACGATTTGGTTAGAATAAAATACTATTCTGAGTAGTAAATCTACTTCTTAACACGCTAGTGACAGAGGTACACTAGTAAGTTGTCATAGTATTGGAAACTCATACAAGACTGAAGTCATCAATACTTTCCATTCAATTCTTTTCATGATATTTATCTAAGCTTTTCTCATACATTGTAGAACTATGTAGTCTGGCAGTAGAATCTAGTAATCTGACCTTAATTTTAACAATCAAATATTATTATTACTTCATTTCATATTGGATAATTATAGGGAACTGAATTACTTATTGAATATATGGGCAGGTTTTTAAAATAATCAATCTTCTTGATTTGGCGAAATTGTTAAGCAAACAATTACATACTTATTTTGTGATTATTATGATACTTGTGATGTGAATAATTTCATGTTTGAATCAAAACTTAAAACTATTCATTCCTGTAAAGAATTCTAATGAAGATCGGTATCGTTTTCAGATGTTATTTATATCGAACGAATATAATTCGGGATCTTATTGATGACCAAGGCGCACTGACAAGTTGTTTCATCGAGAGTAAGACAGTTGAAACCGATAATGTTTAATGATCATTGCTCTATATCACTAATTTGTTCGAGATGAAAATGCAGACCCGTAAATTTCACACGGACAGTGGAAGAGTTAAGCCCTCTCTTTGACATTTAGAGGTTCTGAGTATGCTTGCTGGTGGAATCCACAGTTGAGTACTGCTGTCAGGTAGCATACCAGAATGAAACACATGCCCAGAAATCAGTTGTTTACAACAGTAAATATGTGATGTATACAGCAAAGAAATATTTTTTTCACCTGTATGTATGATACAATTCAATTAATTTGTAAAGCTATACTTTATAGATGTTTCAGAATTGTCATTTTTATAGGTAACTATATTTCAATCTATAACGATATTCTTACTCAGCAAAATGTCTACATTATTAAAAATCAATAATTTGTCTGAATTTACTAATCGAGCTTATCTAATAAAATATTCTCTTTATTATGTGTTATCATAAATTTCTTCACTTTCTTCTGTAATAAAAATCAGTAAAATGAAAATAGTAGATTTAAGCCAGTTTATAGAGACATCATACTGTTTTCTTGTTATACAAAATCAAAATGTATAAATCACTTAAATAAAAAAGAATAGTTAAGGATATTTTATGACTGATAAGAATGATCGACTAGCATCAAAACGAGATCTAGGGTTTGCTTTCAACTGGACCATTCTATTCTAGTGTTCATTGAAAAAAGATCATTTTATTTTTATGGTTTGCATGACAGTTGTCAAATCAAGGTCATTTCGTGATGTAAATTACACAATTCTCAAAAAATATCGCATAGTAGCAGTTAAAGTTTGTCAAGGATTTATCCTGAAATATACATCAGAATAACTCCGCCAGTAGAACCTTCGGGGCTACTTCCGGTCCCAAGCCCGGGTAAAGGAGGAGGGTTGGACATGGGGTTGGCGACCCCATTCCGTCAAAAACTAACTTGCCAAAAAAACGCTAACCAGAAAAAATAATTCAAACCATTTTAACTCTGCCCTGGGAGTTGGAGGAAGAATTATGACGTCGCGTGATGAAAGCCGAGTTCCCTCGGAAGTCACGGGGCTGATGCCTCTTCTGACAACCAGAGCAACCATTTTTTTAGGTACATGGAACGTTCGTACATTGTGGGAGACTGGAAGACTATTTCAAGTTGCGGCAGAAATGAGAAGATACAACCTCGAGGTGCTTGGAATCAGTGAAACACATTGGACACAAGTAGGACAACTGAGACTAGCTTCAGGGGAACTGCTGTTATACTCTGGTCATGAAGAGGAAAATGCTTCACATACACAAGGAGTTGCATTGATGCTGTCCAAACATGCACAAAAGGCACTAATAGGATGGGAATCTCATGGACCCAGGATCATTAAAGCATCCTTCAAAACAAAGAAAGAGGACATTACAATGAACGTCATCCAATGTTATGCACCTACCAACGACTACAATGACGACGACAAAGATCAATTCTACGAAAGGCTGTAGTCAATCGTCGAGAAATGTTCACCAAAGGATTTGACGATTCTTATGGGAGACCTGAATGCCAAGGTTGGAATGGACAACACAGGATATGAAGACATCATGGGACGACATGGACTGGGAGAAAGAAACGAAAACGGTGAGAGATTTGCAAACCTATGTGCCTTCAACAAACTGGTCATCGGTGGCACAATATTCCCGCACAAACGCATACACAAAGCTACATGGATTTCACCGGATCACACTACTCAAAACCAGATTGATCATATCTGTATCAACAAAACGTTCAGAAGGACTATGGAGGATGTGAGAACCAGGAGAGGAGCTGATGTAGCCTCAGATCACCATTTGCTAATCGCCAAAATGAAACTGAAACTAAAGAAGCACTGGACAACGGGACAGACAACATCACACAAGTTTAATACGGCCTTTCTTCGGGATACTGTAAAGCTCAACGAATTCAAGATAGCCCTCACCAATAGGTTCCAGGCCTTACAGGATCTACACAATGGAGAGGACATAACATTGGAGAACAATTGGAAAGGGATTAAGGAGGCAATCACTTCAACATGTCAGGAGGTCCTTGGTCGCAAGAAGCAGCATCATAAGGAATGGATCTCTGTTGATACTCTCGCAAAAATTGAAGAAAGGAGGAACAAGAAGGCAGCAGTGAATGTCAGCCGAACAAGAGCGGAGACAGTTACCGCACAAGCTGCATACACAGAAGCAAACAGGGAAGTGAAGAAGAGCATCAGAGCTGACAAACGAAAATACATGGAAGATCTAGCAACGACGGCGGAAAAGGCTGCAAGAGACGGAAACATGAGACAATTGTATGAAACTACAAAGAAGCTCGCCGGGAACTATCGTAAACCAGAACGACCAGTGAAAAGCAAGGAAGGCAAAGTAATCAGCAACACTGAACAACAGCGAAATAGGTGGGTAGAGCACTTTAAGGAACTATTGAATCGACCAGCTCCTCTGAAGACACCCAACATCGAAGCAGCATCCACGGACCTCCCAATTAATATTGGCGCACCTACGATTGAGGAGATCAGTATGGCCATCAGACAAATCAAGAACGGCAAAGCAGCAGGACCAGACAACATTCCAGCAGAGGCAATGAAAGCAGATGTAGAAGCAACTGCGAAAATATTTCACATCCTCTTCAAGAAGATTTGGGATGAGGAACAAGTACCATCAGACTGGAAGGAAGGATACCTGATCAAAATACCAAAGAAAGGCGACCTCAGCAAGTGTGAAAACTACAGAGGCATCACTCTTCTTTCAATACCAGGCAAAGTCTTCAACAGGGTATTGTTAAACAGAATGAAGGACTTCGTAGACGCCCAACTTCGAGATCAACAGGCCGGATTTCGTAAGGATCGATCGTGTACTGACCAAATTGCTACATTACGGATCATTGTGGAACAATCAATTGAATGGAACTCACCACTCTACATCAACTTCATCGACTACGAGAAAGCATTCGATAGCGTGGACAGGAAAACACTGTGGAGGCTTCTTCGACACTACGGGGTGCCTGAGAAAATAGTCAACATCATACGGAACTCTTATGATGGATTCAACTGCAAAATCGTGCACGGAGGACAGCTAACCGACTCTTTCGAGGTAAAGACCGGTGTCAGGCAAGGTTGCTTACTCTCACCCTTTCTCTTTCTCCTGGTCATCGACTGGATTATGAAAACGTCAACAGCTGGAGGGAAGCACGGTATCAACTGGACAGTTAGGACGCAGCTGGACGATCTGGACTTCGCAGATGATCTGGCTCTTCTATCGCACACTCAACAACAAATGCAAGAGAAGACGACCAGTGTAGCAGCAGCCTCTGCAGCAGTAGGTCTCAACATACATAAAGGAAAGAGCGAAATTCTCCGATGCAACACAACATGCACCAATCAAATCACTCTTGATGCAGATGCCTTGGAGGACATTAACACCTTTACATATCTGGGCAGCATCATCGACAATCAAGGTGGATCGGATGCAGATGTGAGGGCACGGATTGGCAAAGCGAGGGCTGCATTTCTACAGTTGAAAAATATCTGGAACTCTAAACAACTTTCAAACAAAACCAAAATCAGGATTTTCAATACAAATGTCAAGACAGTTCTAATGTATGGAGCGGAAACATGGAGAACTACCAAAGCCATCATCCAGAAGATACAAGTGTTTATTAACAGCTGTCTACGTAAAATACTTCGTATTCGATGGCCAGACACCATCAGCAACAACGAACTGTGGGAGAGAACAAGTCAGATTCCAGTGGAGGAGGAAATGAGGAAGAAGCGGTGGAAGTGGATAGGACACACTCTACGAAAAGCACCTAACTGCGTCACGAGACAAGCCCTCACATGGAGCCCTCAAGGCAAAAGGAAAAGAGGAAGGCCAAAGAATACATTACGCCGTGAAATAGAGAAGGATATGAGAGTAATGAACAAACATTGGACAGAACTGGAGGAAGAAGCCCAGGACAGAGTTGGTTGGAGAAAACTGGTCAGCGGCCTATGCTCCATTTGGGGTAACAGGCGAAAGTAAGTAAGTAATACATCAGAATGCATAATTCATAATTTGAGTTGATGAGAGAATTTTTTATATTATTGTAACAGTAATAATTTCTTACCATATGAATTATATTCACCTGGTAATGGATTGTGAGAGAATCTAATTTAAATTAGCACTGCTTATTGAAAATATCATGTACTCTATTTTGATTCATCTTGTATATATGATAGGTGTATCTTGTCAGAAATTTATTGCATTGCTTGTCTCAAAAAAGTCAACTAACTATGGAAAGTGCATTCAAGATAATGATGGAGCTTCATTTGTATTTTTGAACAACATCATCAGCTCAAACTCCAGGTATTTTCTCCACGTATCACTCGTAGCTTATCCTCTTGATCTCGATCTTGATTGGTTGTCAGTGACATTGGACCTGTCGTTGTCTGCACCTTTATTTTGATTGTATCCTCCTCTCATCTGTTTATTGATCCTATGTTTGTCTATGATTTTTCTGATTGACCGATAAATTGGATCAATGTCGATATGTGTCGGCTACTGATTGACTTGAGTGCCATGCTTCTAAAAGTTCTCTAGTGTGCTTTGTACTCCCTCTATCCAGTATTTCAACATTGTTCCAATCGAATATATGTCCGTAATTGTCTGTATGTGTTGTATGAGGGAAGAAATGTGATGGCACTTGACTGTTAATTGTTGTTCGTGTAGACGAAGCTGAAGCGGATGTCCACTTTGTCTGATCTAGTGTTTTTCACAGTCTGAGCATTTTATTTTGTAGGCGGTGTTTGGTTTTACTTCTATTTCCATCTTGTCCTTTGGTTTTACATAGGGTTGATTGAAATGATTCTGTTGATTTGTGTGCCACACCTATTCTAAGTGATTTCAGTATCCAAGATAACCGACCCATTTGCTAGTTGTAAGGTCGATACGCCAATTACCTGAACTCCGATAGCTTTTAATTGATTCTAAAATATAATTAAATCGCAGAGCAACATGCGCTATTAAAACATGAGTTGATTTAAATGTATGCAAACATGATTCATGTTTTTTTATTATGATTATTAGTGTTTTTGAATCATGCCAGCAGCCTTAGATCCATTTTAATATCAGTGGACGTAGTTAAGCACAATTGAAATTCCAGTCAACTGATGAATAATGATGTATCATTTGACTAGACTGTTGATAAATATATGAAAGTTTTTCTTTTAAGCTGACCTTATTTCTATCTGAAAGTGTCTCACATAGACTAATTCATTTGGTTCAAAAGAGAAAAAACTAGCCAAATTGTGAAATATGATTTGTTTTCCATATAAATCATAGCTCATTTCAAGCAAAGTTTTGTTTTCTTTTTTCTATTTATTTCTTAAGGTTGCTCCCATTCAAAGTAATAGTATACCGAAATATCGTCAAGAATCACCAAAAACACCTCCACATGTTGTTTTACATTATTTAACATTTAAAACTGCTTGGGATTGGATAATATTTTTATTAACTGGTTATACATGTATCATTATTCCGTACAGTGTTGCATTTGGTCATGATACATTATCAGAAGAATCAATATATTTTGCTGTAGAACATATAGTTGACACAATATTCTTCATTGACATTGTATTAAATTTTCATACAACTTTTGTTGGTCCATCTGGTGCGGTTATTTCAGATCCAGTATTAATACGTTTGAATTATTTAAAAGGTTGGTTTGTAGTTGACTTAATCTCGTCACTACCATTTGGAATTCTAGCAATATTCAGTGATCATACAGTGAGTTCAATAGAATTTTAATGGATTAATAGTTTTTAAGTATAAATTATTAGTGATAAATGTGCAATTAATCAATCCTTATTCATCTTCACCTAATGTGTCGGTGCAGAGCATCCTTTTGAACACTTTCGAGGCAGAATGTATATTTTGAGAAACAATTAGTTAAGTAGAACTGGATTCAAGAAAACCCAAAGCAAGTATGGTTCATCGGCGTGATTTGTTTTAGGGAAATTCTATTCCTAAAACTGTACAGTAATGAGTAAATATAAACTTCTAGCTGACAATTTATAACACAATAAAATGATGTTCCTATTAACTTGTGAACTTGTTTGTAAATACTAGAATAAGATAGATTTGAATACTTAGTTAGAATGGGTTTCATAGTACAGTTAATTAACTCATCAAGTGAAATATACTTATATAATCAGGTAATAAATACACATGGTTGAGTAATTTTCATGTCAATAAAGTTCAATAAAAATATAGTTTTTCTGTTCTCAGTATTAATTTGAATGATGAAAAAAGCAATATATATCATATATTATGCAGTAACAGATAGCATTTTCAAAAGCCCACTGTAACATAAAAAGTTACATTTCCATTTATCAAGTTCATATCTTAAACGAAACACTATGCTTATAAAACAGGAAGACTTTGGCTAGCAATGGAATCTAAGATGCATGTTTCGTTTTATTTGAGATTCGTCGGCTGGATGAACCTGCGTTGCACAATTGTTCACTTCGTAGCTCGAACCTAGTACCGTTTGCTTCAAACGCCATAGCGCTATCCACTAAGCTACTGAGTCCACGTGGCCACTCACCTTTTACGCTTAGGGTATAAGGTTCAACGCATTCGGAAATGATACTAGTGGACGAAACACACATCCTGGATTCCACTGCTAGTCAGATTCTATCTATTCCGTTTAGACTTACGTCACAATGGCTATATATATATATATATATATATATATATATATATATATATAGCCATATTTTTAAATAAATACAATTTCTTTATAATACGTAGATATTTATATATGTCTTCTGTATATTAGAGCAATAATTTTTGCCAAACTCTTTGTTCATAGTTTGACGAATATTCCTATGTAGACATTTTAAGTACCAAATGCCTTTCTTAAATCACTGTAAACGTTTTTAATTACTGTCTATCATCCAGTAAAATGACTCACATCGACGCTGTGATAATCTGACGAGACTTGTTTGCAAGCGTGAACAGGATGGTCACCTTTGATTCGTCAGTTACACTGATAGTAGGAAAAAGTACTGATCTTATCTGGTTTCAAGTAATTTTTAGTAATTCATGAACCTAGATTTTGTGCTAGTTGCAGTTCGTCAACTAATTTTTTTCGAAATTCTTAAAAAACTGTCACTTTCCGTGGGGACGTCAGAAACGTTACTTCTGAGTCATTTGAGATGATACCGAACTCATACAGGAGTGAATAATTCACAACGGCAGACTGTTGAGTGGCAATGAGTGTCTTGTTCATCTTATAAATGAAGCTAAGATTGAGTAACTAGCGATTTATCGATTTTCATGGTATATCTTTCAACGACTAGCTCTAATTTTGTGATATGACCCAAAGTATATCGCCTATTTCAGACATATTTAAGGCTTTCTAACTGTTTAATTAAACGATTCTTCTTCGTTTTAGCATGAATCATACACTGTGTTCCTGTTTAGAGACCAGGAAAATGTTTAATAAGTTTTACTGACTAGTTGAGAATATACCTTTTACTGTGTTTTTTTCTCTCCTTTTCTTCTATAATTCATAGACATTAGTCAATTTATCCAGTATATTAAAATTGGCTCGTTTATTACGGTTATGTCGAGTGTTAAGAAAATTAGACCAATATTTGGAATATGTAGCGTCCATCTTATTAATTATGCTATTCTGTTTTATACTATTGGCACATTGGTTAGCCTGTGTTTGGTATTTAATTGGAATGCATGATTTAAAAGATAAAATTTATCATGGATGGATAATACATTTGATGAATGAAACAACTGGTCCAAAAAATTGGAGTAATACATCATTAGAAGAATATTTACCATCACAGTCTATGTTATATATGACATCGTTTTATTTTACTTTATCGGTGATTACAAGTATAGGATTTGGAAATGTTGCAGCGAATACAATTTCAGAGAAAATTGTTTCAATTATTTTTATGTTAATTGGAGGTAACTTGCAAATATGTCAAATGTTATATTTTAAATGTTAAATTACAAATATATATAGTAATCTGAAAATGAAAATAAAGAATCGAATGAAATCTTATTCAGTACAGAATAAAGCTAAACAAACGAATTTTAGTTCGATAAGTAAATATCTAACCGACAAAGAACACTTCTTACAATCAATTTCAATTTTAGTCACTTTCATCTCATACGAAATAATTTGTATGAGTTATTTCAACACAAAAATAAAGATTTTCTTTGTTTAATGAATGTTCTGTATCTTAATATTCATTTATTGATACCTGTAGGGCAATAATTCAATTATTGTGAATAATCGTCATTTTCACACCCATTTGGATAGTCAATCTCATATTCTTTGCCAAATTACCTTGATGAGCTAGAATGCTGCATTGAATTGCTTTACTGACTGGTTGAAGTCAACCGAATGATGATTCTTAAACCAAACAATTTATCGATCGATAATGAATGAATTTCCCTGTTGTTGTTGATAATGTTACAGATTCTAATCGGTCTATGTATCTACTAACCTATGTACGTACAAGGTGGACTACCACATTAGTGCATATATCCATTATCATCAAACTAGTTTTTTACTTTAAGGAATCTTCCGGTTAGTAAGTTGAGTACTGGTGTTCAAAGCGAATGATACTATGTTCATATTTTAGTTGATGAGTTCCAAGTAGGATGAAATGAGCAATCCAAATATATACCATAAAAAATGGTTACTATTCTGATAAATGTTGAATGTGACAAATATCATTTTTTGATGAATTAAAGGCTTAATCGCAACTAAATCAATCATATAATAGTCATGGTGTCACGTTTGAATAAGTTCTGTATAATTCAATTCACTTTTCCTAATACATATTAATTTATTGAGTTAATGCTTGTATGCTTTAAAATGCATTCAACTGGCATTGAAAAGTTAGTTAAGCGAATATATAATTAGTTAGTTAGTTATTTAGTTAATTTCCGCATTCATAATCGTAAAAAGTCATAATAACTCGATGCTCTATCTAGTTTGATTGGTAATTTGGATCAAATCATTCGAATTTTTCATTCCGGTTTATGAAACTAAATAAGTCATAACCAATAAAAGTTTAGCGAAAAAAATTAATTTATCAAATAAACTGCATTAACGTTATCATCCAGATAGTTAACCAAACTAGTTTAAAAGGTCTTGTAGATTAAAAATCTATATCCTTCTGATTAAGATAACACAAACTACCTACTTATGAGTAGTTGATGCATCGGTAAATTCGATTATTGCATTTGATTATTTGCCGAGGTTAAGCAATTGAAGTAAATGCAATAAAATGACTTAATTAAACACTTTTAAATAGGATTTTCAAAATACATAAAAGAACATTTTATTAATGTGTAGGATATATTTTCCAAAAAAGTATACAATAATTGTAGTTTCTAATATACACTATTCATTAGATCAGTAATTCAGTGTGTTAGATAGGATTTTATCGTAAAAATATTTCAAAATACGTGATTCTCACGATTTTAAAATAAAATCGATACATCTACAGTATTCTATGCTTTTCTGGGACATATACATATATATATATCGTTTTGCATGGCAAACTATATCTCTGACAAAAAATAATCACAGAATTTTTATTTCAATATAATTCGTGCTCAAAAGAACACTATGTGATTACTGGCTATCCGAGATATTGTTATTTGTATATTGATTAGCGGTTTCCCAAAAATTTTCAGAAATACATACTATAGATTCTATGAAAAATTGAACTCAAAATCATAGATTTATTTCGAAAAACCTACTATTCACTAATCTGACCAACAAAGAATTAACGTTGTTTACTATTTTGTAACATGTAAAATAGTCATCTGATCAATGGTCAAAATGATTAACTGAATACAAGTGAGAATGGCAAGAATGTTGATTTTCATTACATCACTTATTAAACGGTTATTACTTTTTAAAAAAAGAACTAAAACTTGTCATTTACAGTTTTTACATCATAAAAATATTGATCACCTAACTGACTACGTTATTTCTAACATTATGAAGAAAAAAGTTAAAATTGACCAATCTTTGTATAAATATGCAACAGAGATGATTATCTTTTGTGAGGACAGCAGTGACATATTAGAACAAACATAATCTTTTAAAATTAGATTTATGATAATTTACTTTTGAGTAAATAACAAACTCACCACATAACATAAGGATTATTTGGTGGCCTATTTTCAAGTAGTAAAATAGGCGTTTCTAGTCAATATTCATACAATTTAGATATAAGTTAAATAATGAGGCAAGCAAAGCGAATACTTTCTAATTTAAACAGTTTTATATATATCTAGTGATCATAATAAAGTCTATGTAAATATTTAATTAGATATTAGGCAAAAATGTTATTTAGTTGATGTTGAAATTAGTAATTATTTTTATAGTTCATAGAAATTTATTAGGCTTTTTTTAATGTTTAAAACTTACGCCTAATTCAAGTTATAATGAATGTTAAAGTATGATGAAATATTTACCAATCGTTGCTCAACTCATAACAGTACTGTTTGAAATGTATATTAGGGTTAGTTTTGTGGAGCTTCCTGTAAAAGGTATATGTTAAGAAGTATCAACTTATCAGTTATGAAATCAGATCTTAACGTTGCATATAATATGCAGAGTTGTAAAAATAACTGTAAAGGAGTAGAAATAAAAACAATAGATTACAGAAGATAGAAAGAAAGGTTAAAACCAAGGCGGAAGGAAGGGCTGGACTGTTTTTGTACGCAAAGGTCAAGCAAGCTTAAGCAATAGTCTCTACTGCGTATAAGTTGTGCATTTGCATTCCTCTTAAGATGACTCTTCTGACTGTGTGTATGGTTTTACAGAAGTCTTCTGGTGAAGCATAGTAGTCAGAATTAACTGAATGTTCCAAGAATGAACTTTTGACAGACTCCAGTAATTATTTTAAAAAGCTAGAAGCAAACTAAAAAAAAGGCTTGTTCACCGCATAACTGCGAATTATATGCTGAGTAAAGGAGATCATACGATGTTCTGCCGAAATGAATCTGAGACCTCAAAAGTCTGTTTTTCAGAAGTCCTAACGCAGTATCTCTTTTAAAGTGGATATTTATGAATAGCTATTTAACGTGTCCAGGATGTCTTTAACATGGATATTTTTGTTACAAATATTAGGAATATCATCTAATTATCGCTCGTATAAGTAAAATCTACCAAATGTTGGTTTACGTTTAGCGTTTTAGAGATTGACAATGAAAAGGATGATTTTTTTAAATGAATATCATTTCAGTTAGACACTAAATCTTATTTATGCCATGTACATATAAACCATAGTCTCCGTTAAATATTGAAATTAGAAAACTAAACTAAATACCTTCAGAATCTATAAGAATTTCTCTTCAGCTCCATCTTTCATAAAGTCTACAATAAAATGTCAGTAATTTATGATTACTGAACATACTGTTATGCTCGTCTCTAGGTATGCTTAAACCATTTTGGGTTCACGTTAGTCGGATAACGAGAACAAAACAATGAACCAGCGTCCAGATAGGCTACTGTGATCCTTTGACCAAAAGGTACCAGCAAGAAGTCTTGATACAGCGTAGAAAGTGTATTCTAGAAGCACCCAAATTGAGTTTATTTGTACTCTATAGAGACGTCGTTTGGACAGTCACAAAAATAGCACACTAAAATGACATGGCAACCAATCACAGACAAGGATTTTCCTGGTGGTAAATGTAATCTCAAGGTCAACTAATCGGCCCGTGAAATAAATCCATAATAAAGATATTTATCAAGCGAGTTCTGGGGATCTAACATCCCCAACATATACTTGGATTTTTATTACAACAACTAGTTAATAAATTTAACAAACAATAACATGAATGCGAGTTTTGTTAGATATCATAAGATATTATGTAGCTATTTCACCATTACACATAATGAATTGTTCGATAATATAAACATATTTATACTATACCTATTGTATACTGCTTACTTCATAATTTATTCAATAATAGTAGTATCATTTGATGAATTTAAAAATATTTGTTGATTTTATTTACTATCATATTATTAAATAGCACTTGTTTATGCGACAATATTTGGTAATGTTGCGACAATTTTACAACAAACACATGCAACTCGAGCAAGACTTAGACAATTAATGTCTAGTGTAAAAGATTTTCTACGAATTCATGAAGTACCAAAAGAATTAGCTGAACGTGTTATTGATTATGTAACATCAAGTTGGTCTATTACAAAAGGTGTAGATACACAAACAGTAAGTTAATTGGATGAATGAGTTTTTCATGTTTAAAAATGTAATTTCATACAAAGGATTTTGGTGCTGTTGTCTGATATTCTATAGAATTCAGAAAGATGTAAGATAATAAGTAGGGCAAACAAATTTATTTTATGATTTCGTTCAGTTCAGTAGAATTTACTTTTCCAACCTCATCAACCATTTCATAATACCAAAAGCAGGAAATAATTTCCTACTGAACACATAAAGTGAAATTCAAATTTTTCTGAAATGAATCAACAGATTCTAAATGATAGATTTATAAATCAAACAAAACTGGACTTCAACTATATACGTACAATTCTTCAACAATTTCATACTTTTTTTCTGTTTTCCAAATATATTTATGATATCTCAGAAAATAGCTTGAGTACCAGTAATCGATACTGAAAGATAACAAATCACATCACTGTAGAGATGTTTTGTAAAGTATATTTCAAAACAGCTCTTATTATATGATGTCATCCATTTTTTAATCTACAGTGAAGCTTGTCGTCAACCAGAGTTTTGTTACATTTGGTCTGATTCCTTCTAAATAAATGGTTACCTTTTTCATAGAAATCTCTTGTAAGCCGATTTGATGTATAGGATTTTTGAAAAAAAATTGGGATTTCATAGCTTTTTATAATTCGTATTTACTGTTTGCTTTTATTTATTAAGTCAATGATAATAAATTATTTTCATAGTTCGTTCATAAATTTTTAAGGGAAGTTTAGGCAGGCATTTAGAAAAAGGATGCTTTTTTTCATATTTGAATCGTTTTTTGCACAGTTCTATAATCATCGGGTTGGATAGTCTGGTTATTAAGCGAAACAGTCAGTTGAAAATATTTGAAAATAGTTAGCTTTTACTCAACGAAATTGAATGGGTAGTGAAATAAGCTATTTTACTTTCAAAAACTAAAGAACTGAATCAGTTGTTGAATGAAATCTAACTTAGTAACCTGTCGATGCACATTATCATGAAAATGTACAAATTCGATTGGAACAATGTGGAAATACAGGATACGGGGAGGACAAAGTACACTAGGGAATTTTTAGAAGCTTGGCACTCAGGTCAATCAGCAATTAACAAACACATTGACAATAACCAAATTCATCAACCAATCAGAAAAATCATAGGCGACATAAGATCAAGATACAGATCAAAAGGGGGATATAATCAAAACAAATGTGTAAACAACGAGAGGTTTAAGGTCAACAACAACCAATCAAGATCTAGGTTAACAGAACAAGCTACGGGTCAAGCATGGAGAAATTCGAACACTTCACTTCTATCCGACGTTTGTGCTGATAATGTTGTTCAGAAGAAAGGCGAAAGATCCGGCTCAGAGAACGAAACATCACAACAAATTCAGTTTCATAACTCACGACTTCGCCATAAACTTAGAAAGGAAATTTGTTATGAATAACGAAAAAACCCCACCATTTTTGTTATACAATGTATAAACAAATTTGATGTTTTTATGTTGTTTCTTTTCCAGCTTTTTAATTTGTGTCAAACTTGAAGCTACTAAAATAGGGCTGGTCAGAAACTTTCTCTGAAAGTTTTTTAAGGATAATCTTTGGTCTTTGATTAATTAATCTTTTGCTGACCAAAATCCATCACGCGATCTAGAAAATAAACCATAATTTTTTTCAATTAAATTTGACTGCTCTGTGTTTTTCCACTATGAACTAAGATTTTTCTTGAAGACCGCTCATAACTCTGATTAGATTATGCTAAACATAAGGTCATATTATTAACGATTTAATAATCAATGAGGTTTGATATCTAACTATAGGTGAAATGATAATTATATTATGGGATTAATGTAATTTGTATTTAATTAATCTTATAAACGTTCTGGTAAGATAAAAAAAAAGACTCAATATATCGTTCTATTTTAATTACTTCAGGTACTAAATCATTGTCCAAAAGATATGAAAGCTGATCTATGTGTCCATCTTTATCGTGCTGTATTTAGTGAACATCCAGCTTTCCGATTGGCTAGTGAAAGTTGTCTTAGAGCTTTGGCTGTTTCATTCACAGTTCAACATAACGCTCCCGGCGACTTAATCTTTCACCAGGGTGAAAGTATTGATCAGTTATGCTTTGTAGTATCTGGATCTTTAGAAGTGATACAAGATGATGAAATTGTAGCTATTCTGTGTAAGTTGAAAATTTCACTTGTCCATTTCATCCAATCTTGTTTCTTTTTTTAGACCCTAACTGACTAGTATTGATTGGTAGTATCAGTTCTCGTCAAAAAAATATGTTGTTAAGTTGATATTTTGAAAAACACCTAGATGAAAATTTTATGTTCTGAGTTCAGTTTCAGCGACATTAACAAAGCATTTTTATACTTTAAAATGTAAACTCTTAACCAAATGTGTTTTTTTATCATTCTTAAACCATCTTTTATGTCATTAATAGAAAGAAACAGAACGATCAACTTATTATAACATTCAAACATGGTTTTAGATCATAGATTGACCTTAGTTAGATTGCTATTAGAAAACAGAAATCGGTAACAACATTTTTATCCTCATATGAGTCGGTCCGTAATGTAGAACAATAAAGTTCAACAAGGTCCACAATGTCTTATACTAGTATTATTCATGTGACCAATTTCTATATGCGATTCCCTAGCATCTAATAATAATCCATGACTAGTGTAGTTCAACCATATCAAATGTGAAGCAGTCATCCATCATTAAGCGCTCGCTTCGAGATCTGAAGGTGAGACGGTGGAGAAAATTTGTAGTTCAGGTTAATGATTGTGGTGGTGTTTCGTTCTCTGAGTTGGATGTTTTCTATCTGAAGTTTGTGCTGATGATGTTATTCAAAAGAACAATGGAAGCTACACAACCAAAACATCCAGCTCAGAGGACGAAACACCACCACAGATCCGAAGGTTTTGGGTCTGATCCACAGTGGTAGGTGGATACTCACTAACAGGGAGTCGAAACTAGCATGAAACTACTTTCTGGTTCTTAACAACTGTCTAACCAAGATCAGTCCGTGATGCAAAACTCGAAAAACCATTGAACAAACAACAGTGAAATCGATTGCTTAACTAATCTTAATAACTAAAATGTATTCAGTATATCAAACAACTTAGAAATGGAATGGAATTCGCCTCATTTTATACACACAAAATATTTCTCTTAATTCAAAGGTGGTTTTTTAGATTATGAATTTATTTGAGTTAATTATTTCTTGATTTGACATATATGCCCGTCTATTACTGTTGGGGACATTAGATCACCAGAACTCACTTTATAAAGGTTCGGATTTTGGATTTTATATTCTCGAGCATGGGCTGATCAGTTGAATTTGAGATTACATTTCCAACCTGGAAAATCCTTGACTGTTATTGATTGATCCGTTATTTTACTACGCTATTTTTGTGGCTCTACCAAGGACGTCTCTATGATACACAAATAAACTCGATTTGTTTGCTTGAAAACTTCATATTTTCTGAGTGCTTGCAGAATACACACTCTACGTCTTGTCAGAACTTCTTCCTCTACTTAGTGGGGCCTTGGGATGCTCGGATTAGAGTAGCCTACCGTGTCACTGAATCATTTGTCTTGGCTCTCGTTTACCGAATAAGTTGAACTAGTAATAGTTTCAAGCATATCAATTAGTTACTTCAACAATATAACACATTGATGAATACAAGATAAATGCAAGAGAATAACTTGTTACTCTTAATAAGTAAATTGAATCGAATAGATTATAATCATCTAGATTTAGTCAATAGATTCAAATAAATATCTCATTTCCTATAGAGACTATCACTTGTTATTTGGATAATCAAATAAATTCTTAATAAATGCAAGAATTTTTTCTCAATAATCCATGGAAAATTTTTATTATTTGAAAAAATAAACAAACATGATTTTCATAAAATTTTCTATTTTATACAGCAAAAGGTGATATATTTGGTCAGCCAATATTTAAAGATACAGATGTTGGTCAAAGTGCAGCAAGTGTCCGCGCTTTAACCTACTGTGATTTACAATGTATTAAACGAGATAAACTTATAGATATCTTGAAATTTTATTCACAATTTGCAGTTTCCTTCTCTCGGACACTGGTACTCAGTTATAATTTACGCAATCGTGTAAGACAGTGTTTTTTTTTAATTTGTTATCGCCTTGGTCACTCACATTTTAAATTATCATGATTTAAAATCTAATCCATAACATGACAGCTTATTATGTCATCTTGACAATAATTTTATTTTAATATGAATACGTTCTAAGGGTATAACATAACTTACTTAATTGATTACTATTCCTCATAATCATTTTTTTAGTGCTAGTCAAATACCATTTATGTTGTTGTAATTTGGCTGCTTAGCTAAATAACTAGACATTGAGTCTCATTCTTTGTTTTGACAATAAATCAGTGGGGCGTGAGTGACTGGAATTCATATGTCCAGGTTATATGGTAGCTGATAAAGTGATTGAAAGATCATGAGAGAAATGATATTGCACTTGGAACTCAACCGTATATTACATGATATCAGAGATCTTAGTGATGAGTCATTCAAGTCACGTGTATCATATAAATATCAAATCACTGGCTCCACGCCTTCTGTGTGATGAACTAGTAGTTTACAGGTTCTAAAGGCTCATGGTTCTAAACTGGCTACATCATTGATGTGTTTGTCATATTTTATCCTAATATTTAATTTCAAAACATTCAAATACAAACAAAGTTGATACTCTTAGTCGAAAAGGCGTCTTTGTATTGCAACTGATAACAGAAAGAGAAAAAATTAGGTGTTGGATAATTCGATATACCACTGATAATTCAAAGCTATCATATTCTTGATCGATAAACTAAGTGAACAATATAAAATCATAAAATATTGAGGACAGTTTACAGTACACTGAACTGTTATTTTGACTGATTTAGTTGGCAAATTTTCCGAATGTTCCAAACAACATAATAGTTGAGTTATTAATATGAAAATAAATTCAAAACATGAATATTATTCATCATTCAACAGAGAGAGAAAAGACTATTCATAAAAATAAAACTTTTGGAAATAAACTTGAAATAATCACAATAATAAAGATTCATTTTGAGTATCTCCTGTCATCACAGCGTTATTCTCTTCAGTTTGATAACAATTCATTTTCAGTAATCATTTCGGCCTTATCTTTTTATTTTCTATAACTATACTGACTAATTAATTATTTCTAATGGGGCTCGAAGTTGACCAACATCGATATGATATTTCTATGATTATAAAAGAATAGTGTTTGCAATAAAATCCATGAGTAGTTTACTGGTTAGTAGACAATCATTCACTTTAAGTTTTTCAGCACTAGCTTAATAGTTTAAACATTTCATAATCTAACCATTAAGCGGGTAGATTGAAAATCTACTTCATTTTCTTGTGTCTTGACAGCGTACTGGTATCCGTTAACTGTCATAAAAAAATATTTTAATCAAAGTCAAATACATGGAGGCATACATGATCGTTTTTTTATAGAGACCATTTATTCAGTCAATAATTTAAGGGTAATAGTTAAAATTGAGAAATTTTTTTAATTTCATTAACTATTTCATTCAACATCATTGTCAAGGAAAAGTATAATAGACGGTAGTTAACTGGGAAAAAAGGGTAATAATAAATAAGTAATAAAATAAGTCGCCTTATTCATTTGACATTTCTATGTCTATAGTGAATTCATTGAATTGAAAAATGATTCTACATTAGGCTATGCCCATTAAATGAAACTATGAATGTATTGAATAAGAGTTGATATCAAAGTGAAATTTCAATGATTGCTTAATATTTCTTGCGTCTACTTTATATTCCCAAATATGATCGTAATAATAAAATGAACCGAGTTTAAATAAAACTAACAATTTTATTCGACACAATACATATTACTAAATAAAATTGAATATATAAAATATTTCTGATAAAAACAAAGTTAGTACGAAACAAAAATCAAGAATGAGTATATGCTAATGATATAGATTGATTACTTTCCTTTACCAAATGAAATATTATCTTAGTGCTCATCATGAACTGACACCGGTTGCAGAACTATTGATATCCTATTAACTAAAAGAAATGATTCATCAGTACAATAGTCTAACATTGATCGTGATTCATGATTTCAAATGTGTAACTTAACAATCTTCACAATCCCGTAATGCAGCTACCTGTGCTCACTAGTGACTAGTTTCTTGAGGATTCTTCTCTGAAATTTAGTGGGAAGTCGTGACCAGTGACGTTTAACCTGTTCGGGTGTAGACAGTAACTACCGAAGACTGTGTATGAGGTTGCGCAAGACCGTGAATTGATCGAAGTTAGACACTGACATCGTTAGATACCGGCCCAGTGGTCCAGAGATTAGGCGTTCGCGCGCAAGACCGAAGGCCTTGGGTTCGAATCCTGTGGGGTGCAGGGGTCGTGGATGAGTCTCATATCAGGACGAAACGGCCATCCAGGGCTTCCAGGTTTCTAATGGTGGTCTGACATTGATCGATTCATAATTTTAAATAGACTATATAACAAAAGCTAGTTGGAATGGAAAAATGACAAATTATTACAGATGAATTCCAATAAACAGAAAATGAAATCTCATTTTTTCCTCATGCTCATGATCTGTATTAGCCAAGAAGCAATGAAGAGATAGTTTTCCATGGTTTGAGACTTTTAACGAGTTGAGACTCACGGTAACTCATTGTATCGAGCTCAAGAACCTCAGGTCTTGAGAACAGCCAGACAACTGTAACTGTGAATTTCAGTTCATTCAACTATAAATTAAGCTTCAATTGGTTTTGTCATATTTATTTGTTGTTATCAATGAGTTACTACTGTAAAACTTGCCACCATCTCGAAGCCATGCGTTTATAGGAATATGGCTATTACTGTGTGAAGTGATTTGATTCAGATTACTATGTTGTTGGAGAGTTCTGAAATTTTAATAAGTAGATGAATAATTTTCTCAGTTTTTCTTCACGATTATCTCACGGACTTCAAGATTAGATGAAAATGTATTCAAAATATCCAATAATCCTTATAAAATCATTTCGTCTAGATAAAATTTAGTCAAGATTTTATATATTCATTTTTATTACTATTACTTACTTACGCCTGTTACCCCCAATGGAGCATAGGCCGCACACCAGTTTTCTCCATCCAACTCTGTCCTGGGCTTCCCTCTCCAGTTCTGTCCAATGTTTGTTCATTCCTCTCATATCTTTCTCTATTTCTCGGCGTAATGTGTTCCTTGGCCTTCCTCTTTTCCTTTTGCCTTGAGGGTTCCATGTGAGGGCTTGTCTCGTGACGCAGTTGGGTGCTTTTCGTCGTGTGTCCTATCCACTTCCACCGCTTCTTCCTGATTTCCTCCTCCACTGGAATCTGACTTGTTCTCTCCCACAGTTCGTTGTTGCTGATGGTTTCCGGCCAATGGATCCGAAGTATTCTGCGTAGACAGCTGTTAATAAACACTTGTATCTTCTGAATGATGGCTTTGGTAGTTCTCCATGTTTCCGCTCCATACAGTAGAACTGTCTTGACATTTGTATTGAAAATCCTGATTTTGGTTTTGGTTGAAAGTTGTTTGGAGTTCCAGATATTTTTCAACTGTAGAAATGCAGCCCTCGCTTTGCCAATCCGCGCCCTCACATCTGCGTCCGATCCACCTTTCTCGTCGATGATGCTGCCAAGATATGTGAAGGTGTTAACGTCCTCCAAGGTATCTCCATCAAGCGTGATTCGGTTGGTGCATGTTGTGTTGCATCGGATAATTTTGCTTTTTCCTTTATGTATGTTGAGACCTACTGCTGCAGAGGCTGCTGCTACACTGGTCGTCTTCTCTTGCATTTGTTGTTGAGTGTGCGATAGAAGAGCCAGGTCATCTGCGAAGTCCAGATCGTGCAGCTGCGTCCTAACTGTCCAGTTGATACCGTGCTTCCCTCCGCCAGTAGAACCTTAGGGGCTACTGCCGGTCCCAAGCCCGGATAAAGGAGGAGGGTTGGACATGGGGTTGGCGACCCCATTCCGTTGAAATCTCACTTGCCAAAAAACGTTAACCAGAAAAAATAATTCAAACCATTTTATTACTATGATTATTGATAAAATTGTGTTTTTATCGTTAGTTGATCAAAAACGAGAAATTTTAATCAGAAAGAAATGTCCATAAACAAAGAACCTTAACAGTTAGTGGTCTGAATTCAAATCTGCTATCATTCCTTTCCTGAATATATATTGATCATACAAGTTCTGTGAAGAAGATGGTAACTTTCAAATAGAAGGTTAAAACTTACTGGATCATGCATTCACTTTTGGTCAGTTTTCGATCTACCAAGATCTATAATGTCAACTAACGTTTGAGATCAAAATAGATACTTGTCACTGACACTGGATATTAACTGCGCCACATTATGGATTGGTTAAAATAAACGAACATGAATTCTTTATTGAAGCTTAGAAGCTGGATGGTGTCGTAAATACCGTACGACCCAAAGCTCCCAGTACTTCTTAAATATAACACTGTTTTAGTTATAACGCAAAATGTTTATCCTAAGTTAACCTTTCAATAAATAATGGTAATGTTTGGTCTAACAACCTAACATATTATTACTCTTTTTGGATTTTAGTTAACATTTCGTAAAATATCTGATGTTCGGAGAGAACAAGAGCTGAACGAATTAAGACAAAGTCAACCTCCAATATCAAGTTTAGCACCAGATCACCCGGTAAGACGATTAATATCCCGGTTCTGTAGCGCAGCTACATCCAATTTAAGTCGTTCCAGTTCATTTAGTTCAAATGAACATCGAGAAAGTGGAAAAACAAGTGGAAAGTCAAATGATACATCGTTAAGTACTGCAGTAAGTTCAAATTTACATTTAACATTTTTAAAGTGTTTAATTTATCAACTGTTTATCAAAAAATTTTAAATCAATCTTAAAATTTCATGAAAAAATGTTTTTCAGAATGATAGCTACAAACATTTTTTTTACAAAAACCTGTTCGATTCTTGCAAATTTACTAGTTAGGTTAAACTAACCTTTGTGGATGCATTTTAGCACAAATATGGAATTCGTTATGTATATTAGATAAAATTATAGCGGTTTACATAATGACGTATCACTGAATTTCTTCGTTAAGGTCGTTAACTTTTATGTACAGAATGCGCTAAGAATGGAATGTAAGAACGAGTGAAAATACACAATTATTACCAGTACTTGATTTTACATTCACTGAGTTTGGGATTAGTAATCTTGGATATATTGATATTGTAAAATCGTACAATGTGCTCAGTAGTGACTTGCTCTGTGAGGAAATTCTTGGAGCTCTAGTGAGAAGACGTGACCACTGGAGTTCAACCCTGTTGGATGTAGGTGGTAACTACCAAAGACAGATGGGTGAGGTCGCGCGAAATCTGTAGACTGATCAGAGCTAGACATTAACATCTTTGAATGTCGGCTCAATGATCCATAGGTTAGGCGTTCTCGTGCAAGACTGAAGGTCCTGGGTTCGAATCCTGTGAGGTGCAGGAGTCGTGGATACGCACTGCTGATGAGTCCCATCGCAGGACGAGGCGGCCGTCCAGTGCTTCTAGGTTTCTAATGGTGGTATAACGATGACTGATTCATGATTTCAATGTAAATAATTTTACTCCATCAGTAGATCTTTCAAAATATTTTAGAAATTTTATTTAAACTAGTTCTGTAAAGATTATTAAGAAGTATCAACTTATACATCAGATCAACAGATCTATGCAAGATATTTTGTGATACATTTACTAAAAAAAATGATAACTATTCAACATAAAACAATTGACAATACTGTCAAGCGTAAAAAATCAAAAAGAATGAATTAAATACACTTTTATCATTGTACTCAGAAAAAAGAAAAACGCATTTTTGCTTATTTCACAATTAAAAACTTAAATTAAACATAGAATAAATGTTAAAATGACTTTTCTTTTTTAATGAGAATTTCTAAACAATAAATGAATCATAAAAAAACACACACAACACTGTTTTATTCATTCATAGAACGTTAAACTGTGAAATAAACACTTGTTCATCAATCATCAATTTAAATGAAATCAAGCGTTTATAGCCGAATCATCTTTCTTTTTTAGTAAAAGAGAAATTCAATGATTTACTAAAGGGTTTTTTTTTAAAGTTATTTCATATTACTTTTGAAATCAAATTAGAAGCCCTGAAATATGAAGAAGTCCGAGATAGATATTTTTTGTTGGTTTGAGCTTCTTCATAAAGTACAAACACATGATGAAGATTAAGCTTAAATCGATAGTCGAATGAATTTTGAACTGTTGATTATTGAATTTTGACTCACTGACTGGTCGATGGTCATATATATATATATATATATATATATATTACAGTAATGAAATACTTAGGAATGTGTTACAACCGAAACGTGGTAAAACTGAGGCGTAGGATTCTTACACAAGAATTATCGAACTTTGCTAAAACGTTCATAGTAGTATAAATAATACTGAGATTTCTATTCGGTACCTTAGCGATGACTCAAGACGTCTATAAAACACGGAAATTTATGACTTCATGTAAATCTGTTCTGAAATTTCACCACGACAAATTAATCTTCTTCAGTAGTGACAAGTTCCATGTTTGTCTGAACATTAGTACTGGTCAGATATTATCGACCAAATTATAATTTGTTTATTACTCTAGGTAACTCAATATTATGTTCACTAAGTTGTCATATTGGATAGTTGCAGGTAGTCAGCAGGCAACTTCAGGCTTCATGGTAGCTGGAAAAATTCAGTAGGACATAAATACAATTGTGAAGGCACTTATCTACATTAAATGATTCAAACGACGTCGACAGAACTCAATTATAACTGCCAGTCTAGATAAACTTGATATTAGTCACTACTCAGTGGTATATCAGTTTTAAATATCCCATTCCTATGGAAAGTTGATTGCATCCAGAACATTTCAGTGGTAATGTTACGGACTGTGAGGTTTTAATGGGGTGAATTCGGCTATCAAAGCGAGTATCACTTGCTTAAGGAAAAATACACCTTACCATCGAGCGTTAGTTCGAATAAAACCTAAGTTTAGAATTTACTTTTAACTGCATTAAACAATCTAACATCTGAAACTTCAATGACAAACACGTTGTTTCTCCATACTATGACATTTATTAAAAATATTATATTTATTTTGAATGATAAATATCTGATTCGAATATATTGTGACTGCTTTACGTAGAACTTAATGTTTTGCAGAAATTACCAAATTTCAATCGATCTATTTGTAATGAGAAACTACTTAGTACTCTGTAAACATAAAATCAAGTGTAAAAAACGTGGATTACTTGAATATATTTATTTACTTTTAAGCTAACTTCAACTACATATTACAACTTTAGCTTAAGAATTTGAAAAAAAGAGCACATTGTATCATTAATCTCTAGTCTAGCGCTTTTCATCAGTCAATTTTTATTCTATATTCATAATATTAATTAATCAAAGTTGAATAACTATCTTTCTTAGCTTCTTTTTAATAAAACAAAAAACAAAAAACGTTGTTCATTTTCAGAATCCCGCACCAGAAACTACATCTTCATCAGAAAGTCTGACAATTTCAACAAAACCAAAATTAAGTTGGGGTCGACTTCTTGATATACCTAAAACAACATCATCAACACCAGTAGAAATAACCACCAAATTGACAATGGCAACAACAACAACAACAGCACACACAACTATCACTACAACAGCACACACAACTAGGTCTCATCAATCTGTCAAAATCAACACTGGAACTATACAAGAACAAAAACAACACAATGAGAAAAGTCAATTACCGAAGAAATTATCACAAATTCAACGATCTGATGCATTAATTATGAATAAATTAGAGAATAATGAAAGCATTCAAGATGAACAAGAAAAATTTCATAAAATTATTATGCAACATATTGAGTTAATGAGGAGCAATTTTTTAATAAATATACGTAGTTTATCAAATCGATTAGATTTAATTGATCAAAGAATAACACGTATAGCACAATTTATCAATCATAATAATAATAATAATAAAGATATGAAAGATTTGCAAATTTCTTGTTCATAGTTCAAAGTGATTACTTGGAATTGTGAAGTTATTCACTGGTACTACTGATGCATTTCTATTTAGTGGAAAAAAAAAGTTCGAAAACAGATTAATTTTATTCAGCTATATATTTTAAATCTATTTCAGTAAATAAATACTTAAGAAAACTGATTATAAAGTTGTTGTTTTTCCTTATTTCATTAGTGTGTATAATGTGTTTGAAGATTGATACGAAATCCCAGTTATAAGATACGTAGACTGTAAATCTATTTAGAGAAATATCATTTCAGTGGACTTTTGTTTTCTGAGCGGGATGTTTTGGTTATGGAGCTTAAATTGTTCCTTTGAACAATATCATCAGTATAAACTTCACTTCAGGTAGAAGTGAAGTATTCGAATTTCTCCACGTATGACTCGTAGCTTGTCCTGTTAACCTCGCTCTTGATTGGTTGTTATAGACCTTAAACCATTGGGAATAGGTGTAGCACAGAAGCCAAAAGTATTAACGTACATAAATATATTCAGTAAAATGTTACTGATGAAAAGTTAATGTAAACACGTATCACATTGTAGTAAATATTTATAAACAGAAGCTTTTATCAAGCGTTGTACACAAAAGGTTTGTTACTGTCAACTAAGGTAATGGTCAATCATCATAGAACGGGAATCGAATGATGATGACATGAACTGTAGATTATCAAAATTCAAAAAAACTAAGTAATGTATTCAAACAAAAACATATCATAAACCCAGTCATAATAGTAACGAAAACTTGTGGGACTTTAAATGAATCACTACATAGTCAAATAAAATAAACACAAGTGAAAAAACCTCGCAGGAATATAATGAAATTGACAAATAAATTGTAAACTTCCTCATCGGTTGATTCACCAAAGTATCAGATTATTCGAAGGATTTAGACAACTTGATTAATTCAAGTATTTAGGATTCAATATTTTTATTTTTCGTGTTTAACCAAAAATCTTTCTCTATAGCTTTTAAAACTGGCTGTAATTTAATTTTAATTAAAGAAGTCTAAAATATTTTAAATGATAACAACAATGAATAATGTTCATATTGAATCTAAAATCTACACGTATTGAGTAAATATCCACAGCTATTTTATATCATCATGAAGGTTTTAATTAATCCGTTATTGATATTATTTTCTGATTTGTGTGCAAGTCCGTTTAACAAACTAGAGGATATCTAAATTCAGTAAACCAACGGATAGTGTTAGGTGTTTGAAATAAAAGGTACCGGTCCAGTCGCGGACAAAAATGGCATCCTGTATTCTGCCGTTAATTACTGCACGTCTGTTACACGTAAAAAGCTGTTTTGTATAATAATTATTTGCTTTGTCAACCAATATTTCAGACAATGATATATATTGCTAAAATAAGGTATATTTTATTCACTTTGTGAAGGTCGTGAAGAAAAGTGGTTCTCTAAAACCAAGTAATAGTTTGATGAGTTAGCTAGGCTGTACAATATTTTATATTTGAAGTGCCTTGAATACGATAATACTTAAATACATTAAAATATTAGAAGACTGTGAATTTTTCAGAAAAATGTACAAGATTATCATCCTATAGATTAGAAAACATGAATTCTAAGATCGATTTCTTGTGCTTGATGCCATTCAGTAAGAGTTTATCCATTTCGGCTTAATGCTTTATGTCAGATTCACGATCATCTATGTCACAAACTTCATTACTGATTATTTAAAGGTCTTTAATATGTGCATACATTTCCAACCAAAACGCATGTAAGCTTTGAAATTAATAAGGTCAGATATGTAGAACACTATTGATATGCGGCTAGACAATGTCAACTTAACAATTTAAACTACTGAATATCAAACTATACCCTCCAGGCACTATCAGTCGCAAAGGTGAACAGCACTCAGAATCTAGTTAGAATAATTATTTTTTAGAAATCTTATTGTTTATTTTGACCAAAGTTAAGTACAACTGCAAACAGATCAGTATTTACATAGGTTATCAAAATTCCTTCGATAATCCAATAGTGAACAATGTAAGTTTCCAAGAGCTAAAGATAAATTTTGTAAACCGTTCAAGTAATCTTAAATTAACTACTTAAATTGTCCTACAATATTAACACAATTCCAGTTGTATTTCACACTAAGACAGCTAAAAATAATGCTTGTTAAATTAGGACAGGCCAGTCAGTATAAAAACCTAGCTAGATTTTCATTTAAGAATATAAAAAAATTTCCATTTTGATTGTTAAAAGTTTTGTTTCATCGTAGAGGAAAGCAAAACAATAAACTTATACATTGCAAGAGGTTTGGGTTTTATTGTTTGCATTGTATAAGGAAAACAGGAAATGTTGTGCAGGTTGTTATGAATTGTAGATTTTCAATTTACAAAAATAATAATAATAATAGTTCATTTCAAAAGAAATTTTAAGACTTTTTTTTAACGGAAATACCCACCTGCTTTCTTATATAGAGGAAAAACAAAAAAAACTAAACTGACATTTTGCTAGATAGTTTGCAAAATTTTTATTTTTAAGATTTATTACCAACAATAAATTTGCACAATATTTCACCATAATTCAAAATAATCACTCGTATGTTGCTTAGAAAGGAGAAATGGCAAAAAAAAGGAAATGAAATAATAATAAACGTACTTTAAACTTAAACTTAAGTTTCCCTAACATCATAATTCATCAAATGATGCGAAAAGGAAGTTCAATAGTATGGAGGAGATATAACAAACAAAGGAACATAAAAAACAAGAATAATGTTGTCTGTCTTTTAAAAAAAAATGAAATGAAATCAGAAGATCCAGTGAAATATTGATAGTTGTATTGCACAATGAAGTATTTCATTTCCGTTTTAGACTACATCTGCATTTGATGTGTCAGTTAGTATGATGCAATAACATTTCAAACTAGCATCCGTCAATCAATCAAAATGTATTTGATAGAGATTATAAGTTTAGTTTTCAAAATAATGTAAAGGAATAGTTGAAATTGTATTGTCTAGCAAATATTTAACTTGTGCATTCTAAGATACATTTACGCAGTCAACTGAAATTGAATAAATAATTCACATGTAATTCATTACTTCATAAAGCTGCTCATCTTTAAAAACAATCTAGAAATATTCAGACTTAGTAAAATAACAGGAAAAAATAAGTCTAACTCTGATAGTAACCGTACATCTTAGAGACAAACATTCCTAGTTTAAGTGGTTATGTTTAAAAGTAGAACTACATAAACCTTTTGCAGTTTTCATAGCATTAGATAAACAAAAATCCAGCAGTTTGTGATTGACGGTCCCATTAATAAAGAAATGCTACTATTTATTTGATGGACATTGATTTATTCTTCCGATTGCTGGGTAAACATTATATTGAAAATTACGCGTCCCAATGTAAAAACATACAGCGACCGCTGTCATAAATACAATGTTTTTTTACTGAGAACTCTAGGAAAAAACTATACACCTATTAAAAAATTAAACTGTTTGAACCTTCTGAATAATAGGACAGCAAATTTCTGCGTTGGGGACGTTAGATCACCAGAACTCACTTAATAAAGGTCCTAATTTTGGATTTTACATTCTCGAGCATGGGCTGATCACTTGACCTTGAGAATGGACATCCCACCCGGAAAATCATTGAGTGTTATTGGTTGATGTATTATTTTACTACTCTATTTTTGTGGCTCTACCAAGGACGTTTCTATCATGTATAAATTAACTCGATTTGTGTGCTTGTAGAATACATTTTTTACGTCTGGTCAAGACTTCTTCCTCGACTTAGTGGGGCCTTGGGACGCTCGGATTAGAGTAGCCTAAAATGTCACTGCATCATTTGACTTTGCTCTTGTTTACCGACTAAGGTAAACTCGTAATAGTTTCAAGTATATCAATTAAAGAGCATAACATTCTGAGTGAATAACGTTTTTTTGGATACCATAAACTCTAGGCATAGTAAACGTTACTTTCCTAAATTAAATTAATCTTTTCTTTTCTATAAACAATCCCTTACATGATTAATATAATCATTTTTAGTTTCTTTTTTAACCCATTTCCTTATAAATACAAAAATTACTTGTACAAAATCAGTTTAAATTATTATTAGGTCAATGTTGTAATCTGGTTATTGGCTTCCTGTTCAGTTAAAAATTCAAATGAATGTCAAGATATTTTTTTTAAAAAAAATTTAAGTTTAGAAACAGTGACGATGACCTCCACTGCAACAACAACAATGTTATAAGATTTTGATAGAACAGTGATCTAGAAGAAAAAATGTGATGTACTTGCGCTTTACATTTGGAACATCACATTTTCCAGACCAACAACGTCTTCTCATTGTGCTATCAAAATTTATACCAAGCGATTAATTAATTGTTTGAAACGTTACAAAAGAAAACAAAACAATATTTTTCTCAAATTATCACAAATTTATTAACGATAAAGTAAAATTATATACATATACACACAAAAAAATAACCAAAATCATTATAAAAATTAATGAATAAAATTAGAGACTAAATTACATTAGTTATAAAAATAGTAAAAAAAATTATTATTATTATTATTATTATTATTATCACTAACAATTCACAAAAGTAGATTGATCAAAAAAAAAGTTTAAAGAGAAGAACAAGTTTAAAGAAACGAATGTTGACATTGTGCATAAAATAATTCGACTGAAGATTATTTACAACGTATATTATAATGAATAAAAAAATAATAATTAAAAAAATATAGAACTCATTAACTAAGTACCGGTTGTTGTACGCATCAGTTTGGAACAATACAGTTTATCGGATTGTCACATTACTCAACTGCTCAAATGGAAGAGTAGAGGTGAGATGGAGTATCAATTTGAGACTGAATCCTCCAACTAGCAAGCTATCATTTTATTCATTGAAAAAGAAATAACAGTATTTTATCTTGAAAACTGGATGAACAATATGAAAAGATAGTGAACTTAATTTATTTCAATTAAATGATTCACTTCTGGACACCAACTGCTTTGAATGATACATTCAGTTAACCAACTATCTTTGAGGAAATATGGAATACGAGTAAATTGACGAATCCAAGAGCTTAATATGGAAGAATTCTCGTTTAACCAGATATTAAATTCAGTTTCATTGGAAGTTGATAACTACATGTTTAAAAGAAAAACAGCAGTAACATTTAATTGAGTATTGTAAGCTTGTCATGAAAATGCAAACGGATTAGTCAAGAAATTTAACTGCAAACATACTCAAGAGGCAGATTTCAGACTCTCTCAACAAAGTGTTCTTCAACAGCGACTTTGCGAATAGATTTCTCGGGTCAATCAATGTTCAACAATAATCTAAAGCATAAATTAACGCATTTGACCAATTTCATGTGGAAACACGTATGCGGGTTGTTTGATGCTTATTTTAGCCAAAAGAATTCGAGAATATTATATCCGGCATTGCTGAATTGGTTCGATAAGAAGCTCAATAGTCGAACACCTTGTGAACACAGGTTATTTGGTCAAAAAACGGATTCTGCGTTCAAAGTTATCTGGAAAGCTGCCAAACACAGTTGGTTTCCATCTTCTTAATATTGCCGAAGCACTTGCTATACATCTAAAACTATATTTCCACAAGAAATCGGTACAACCGCTCCTTCTACCATGGTCTTAATATCTCGTAAAAATGTTTTCACTTCTTTCCTTTCATTCCCTCGTCACTTCATCGCTATAGACTTCTTAATCCCAACTAATTTGTCTCTGTTTCTATTGATGTTCCTGATTACAGTTAATCTCATTTTGAACAGTTTACCTTATCCTGTTGAGCTTTCTGTTCGCAATTATGATTTTTTTTTTAATGATGAACATTCAAGCTTTCAACAACAATATTATTATTAACTCCCTTAATTAAAAAAAAAAAACACTTCACACCTATATCTAATTTGCCTCACTATAAAAATAAAATCAAATCAAATTTGAGAGCCCGAGTCAGTGATTAAAATTAATAATTTCACATATGTATTAAATGTTTAGTTATTGATCAGATTTAAGATTATTACACTAAACTGATTTTAGTTATCATTATGATCTACTTGATCGAATTGATTACCATGCATTTCGACACTTCTATTGACATGGTGTGTACATTTTAAAAATTCTATAACCAGATACTTAATGTTTATTGAATACCTAAATTTATCTCACTGAATTATACTTTTCGAATCATATCTTCGCTCCCTAATCTTCTCGATTACTGCTAATACTTCTACTATCACTATCATTCTTGGATTTGAACTGACAGTTGCGTCTCTGTGCTCATGTGGTATGGCAACGCGAACTGATGTACTTACGTACGAATTTCTGCGTTGAATCTGTCTGTTTATTGAATACTGTGTAGTTTTTTGCATTTCTTCCCATGTTTGTTTAATTATTACTTGAATAAATAATTTTTAAAATTACGAATATGAATTGATCGGTTTGTTGGTGATTCCATGTCCATTCAGTTGAGATTGAAACGGATTTATTCATACAATTGATCTTATTCAGTATTTTATTTGTCAGTAATCAATCTACGCATATTTTTTTATAACCGATGATGAATCGCTTTGTAATTAAACACCCAATCAATAAGAAGTAAAGAACATTTACAATACAAGAAATATGCTGATAATTTACCATTACAACATGCGTTGGATTGATACAATTATTACTCAGTGCTCGCATACAATCATTTGTATGTGAATCGATAGACAATAAATTATGATAAGCTGTATTCAATAACGACTGTAAATTAAGCACCGATTCTGACTTATATACACCAACAGGTCCTATACACATTGAACCAAGTCTACGTAGATCAGTAATCATTAATTGTTGATGAATTTCCAAACTAGTTGATTCAATTTTTTTCTCATCATTATTTTTTGAATTAAACAATGGACGTATAAGTACTAAAATATAACCTGTCAACGGGTGTAAAACTTCCATATCATTCGGAAATTCATCTAATAAAAGTTTCAATTTTGAATAATGACTGAGTTTTGGAACCTAAATAGAAAAATGACAGATATATGATTGATAGTAATACAGTATAACGATTCACCTAGACACTTAAAAAAGGACCGCGGATTATACGAAAAAAAACTTCTACTTATTCTAATAACTTATACATAAGGAAATATTAGAGGATAGTGGAGAGATTACAGTTAGACACTAACACCGTTGAATGTTGGCTACGTTCTAGAGATCGTAGATGAGGCCGAAGTTATTGGGTTTGATTTCCCGGTACGGAGTTATGAATGAATATTGCTAAGGAGTTCAGTATACCACAGCGAAACGTGTACCCAGTACTTTTGAATTCCCTATGGTGATCTAGCAAATATCAGTTCCTGATTTAAACTATAAAAACATGCACATTTATTGAATGATATCAATCATCAGGAAAGTATCATTAATATTTACCTCATAACAAAACATAACTTCAAGGATGAAGACAACACTCCTTTTAAAAAGGTGAACGTTTTCACTCTAGAACCATAACTCATTTAGAAGTTTCCCGTAAATAGATTGTCTAGAGTTAGGAGATTTCGAAACTTATAATTAACTTTAGGCTATCGTCTAATCTCGAAAGTAAGCTATGTACCATGGATTGATCTTTTATTGATAATTAACCACACAGTATTTAGTACTTAGTAATAATTAAAGAATTGTCAGACGTTATAACACTTGTCGTTTAAACAATAATATATTGAATTTACTGAACATGCATTATTCACCTATACTGTAGTACTTTTTCACAAAAAAACTTTAAGGTGAGTTTTAGGTGCAAGTAGAATAGCAGGACAATAACGGTATGTGGGGAGCAATATATAAAAAAATGCACAGACTAATTAGATATCTAGATGAGTACAATATTTATTTACAGTCTAACTCATCTCATTAAGTGTGTTCACTAGGTAGAGTAATATTAAACGAACCGTTAAGTTCAATAAATAGTTGCCTGTTCGTAAATATAGTTTACTTAAATGAAGTTAATTGAAAAACAAGAGGTTAGAAGTCAACGAACTTACCGTTAATTTTGATCTATCTCCTTCTTCTTCTTCTGTCAATGATCCAGAACATGAAATATCATTAAAGATTAATTTCAATTCATCAGATGTAATCGGTTCACTGTAACTATCACCAAATTTATCATATTCTTGAGACATTTTAGCAGCAATAGATGAACTCATTGCAAACATATCTTTTGGTTTCCATGCTAATAGAGATTTCTTATTGATACAAGCAAGTAACCAATTCAAATGAACTACATTGTATTCAATAAGTGAAGAGCGTTTTTTATTTGAAGTACTAGAATAGCTTAGCAAATTTTTTATCTGTAAAAAAACGAAATGTAATCAAGATTCATGAAAAAGTCTGAGGAATTTTAATGATGAAAATATAATCCGAATAATAACTACACTTGTCGTTTAATGATCAAGTTGCAGATTCTCGATCAGAATCATTCGTTTTTCACCATGCACACAATAATCGCAGTAATATTACGAGTAAACAGACTTGGAGTAATAATAATAATAATAATGTGTGTTCCGAAAGTTTTTCCTAGATTTCCTTCTATTTTTCGGGCAAATTCGAGTTGCGAGATGTAGTATTCGATTAAGGAGTTGCATAAACAAATTTCATTTATTTACTGTAAACAATAATGAACTAAATCGACCGTAAGACATGGAGAACATAAATGAAAAGAAAATTAGAATGGTAAACAAATGTTAAAACTGAATAATTCAGTGATAATATTCACTCATTTAATTAGAAAAAAAATTCCGTATAATACATTATTCCAAACAATTGTCATTGGAGAAACCAATACTTAATGTCTGTGGACGGTTATTTCAAATCAGCGATTTCTAAACAAGTATTAAGGGAGTAAACTAGTCAGTTAGTCAGTTACAAGGTAGAACTTTGTACGTACGAAATCGGTTAAAGTTGCCATACTACATTAGCACAGAAACGCAGTCGTCGATTCAAATCCCATAGTAGTACTAGCAGTAATCAAAAAGATTAATGATCGTATATATTATTCGAGATGTATACCCCAGAGAAAAAAAGGTCATGAGGAATTCAGAAGATTAAGATTTGAGAGAACACAAAGAATGGATGTACACCTGCGCGATTGCAAACGGTTTTGAGCCATGTCATTTAAAGTCTTTAGCTATCCATATTGCGGATCCAAAACAGGTAGTCTACATTTACCAACATGACTCAATCCAGTTGTCAGTGGACTTCAAGGATTTCTACAATTTTCTGGTATGGCCACTCCTAGGTTTCTTCCAACCTACTCCTACACCGATCATTCATCTAGCAGTCAAAAAAGGAAATCAAATATTCAGTGGATTATATCGAATACAATAAAATTCAACAAGTTTAAAGAATCGCTTAAGAAAAAAATAAAGTTTAAAACGCATTTCACTTTTACCTTTAATGTAAGCTTATCAGCAACAATACAGAAAGTATTGTTCGATGGATTTTGTACAACAACACCACCATGATTACGAATACTAGTTTCATATTCCATCTTTTTATCCAATTCAATATCATTCGATAACCAAAGGCATATTTCAAGATTTTCAAAGTAATTTGACTAAAATAAACAACAAGCATTTTATTGTATACAAATCGTTTACTATGAAAAGTAATTATCAATAGGTTATATAACTAGGAAATACCATATTGTGAGATATTATATTATCTAGATGCTATACACTTTTTAAAACACTTTCAACTAATAGCTAATTAGTAAATTTAGCAACTACTTATACAAGTCCACGTGACAAATTGAAAGTTAAAAAAATCACTACGTGAAAGTAATTAACAACAGTTGGTTCTTTCGAGCTTGTCATATGGAGAATGAATAGAACCTACGACATATGTATAATAAATTTAACATCGAAATGTATACGACAAGTAAAACAAAATAAATAGAAATATGTTTTTTTTCTGATATTGATATTTCAAAAACTTAATTTTGATTATTAATTTATAACCAAGTGGCAAATCACGTAAAAACAGAAATTATGAAGCAACTACTTCATTTCAGTCGGAAATTTTTTTAAACAAACCCATGTAAACATAATTTTAAACTCATTCTAACGCTGAACAACTAGTGACAGAATACATTTGTTCTTCTCCTTAAGTATCACTACCAGTATCAAGGCATACATGTTGAGAGAACACATTGATTAACAGATAATCAATAAGCTCAGTTGTGAACATAGTTGTTACGCCTGCACGTAAACACGTCATTGGATATGCTTGAATTATTATTACGAGTTTACCTAGTCGGAAAACGAGAGCGAGGATAGAGGATCCGGCGACATGACATGCTACTCAAAACCGATTATCTCAACCTCATACTGAGTAAAAATAAGAAGACTTGAATGTGAAGTAAAACCAGTATTCTACAAGCATCCAGGAAGTACGAGGTCCGAATCCAAAAGAGAATTAGGATCCCGGACTAGGGATCCGCGACCGGGTCCTGGTCATAAAACGTCACAGATAATGCGTATTTATACATTTTGGTCGAAAAGGAAACAGCATCGAAGTCTGTGACATCGACAGTTAAGACGACCAATAGGAAGCAACATTTGAAGTGACATTGATAGTCTTACTTACTTACTTACTTACTTTCGCCTGTTACCCCCAATGGAGCATAGGCCGCCCACCAGTTTTCTCCAACCAACTCTGTCCTGGGCTTCCCTCTCCAGTTCTGTCCAATGTTTGTTCATTCCTCTCATATCTTTCTCTATTTCTCGGCGTAGTGTGTTCCTTGGCCTTCCTCTTTTCCTTTTGCCTTCAGGGTTCCATGTGAGGGCTTGTCTAGTGACGCAGTTCGGTGCTTTTCGTAGTGTATGTCCTATCCACTTCCACCGCTTCTTCCTGATTTCCTCCTCCATTGGAATCTGACTTGTTCTCTCCCACAGTTCGTTGTTGCTGATGGTGTCTGGCCAACGAATACGAAGTATTTTGCGTAGACAACTGTTAATAAACACTTGTATCTTCTGGATGATGGCTTTGGTAGTTCTCCATGTTTCCGCTCCATACAGTAGAACTGTCTTGACATTTGTATTGAAAATCCTGATTTTGGTTTTGTTTGAAAGTTGTTTGGAGTTCCAGATATTTTTCAACTGTAAAAATGCAGCCCTCGCTTTGCCAATCCGCGTCCTCACATCTGCGTCCGATCCACCTTTCTCGTCGATGATGCTGCCAAGATATGTGAAGGTGTTAACGTCCTCCAAGGTATCTCCATCAAGCGTGATTCGGTTGGTGCATGTTGTGTTGCATCGGAGAATTTCGCTTTTTCCTTTATGTATCTTGAGACCTACTGCTGCAGAGGCTGCTGCTACACTGGTCGTCTTCTCTTGCATTTGTTGTTGAGTGTGCGATAGAAGAGCCAGGTCATCTGCGAAGTCCAGATCGTCCAGCTGCGTCCTAACTGTCCAGTTGATACCGTGCTTCCTTCCAGATGTTGACGTCTTCATAATCCAGTCGATGACCAGGAGAAAGAGAAAGGGTGAGAGTAAGCAACCTTGCCTGACACCGGTCTTCACCTCAAAAGAGTCTGTCAGCTGACCTCCGTGTACGATTTTGCAGTTGAATCCATCATAAGAATTCCGTATGATGTTGACTATTTTCTCAGGCACACCGTAGTGTCGAAGAAGCCTCCACAGTGTTTTCCTATCCACGCTATCGAATGCTTTCTCGTAGTCGATGAAGTTGATGTAGAGTGGTGAGTTCCATTCAATTGATTGTTCCACAATGATCCGTAATGTAGCAATTTGGTCAGTACATGATCGATCCTTACGAAATCCAGCCTGTTGATCTCGAAGTTGGGCGTCTACGAAGTCCTTCATTCTGTTTAACAATACTCTGTTGAAGACTTTGCCTGGTATTGAAAGAAGAGTGATGCCTCTGTAGTTTTCACACTTGCTGAGATCGCCTTTCTTTGGTATTTTGATGAGGTATCCTTCTTTCCAATCTGATGGTACTTGTTCCTCATCCCAAATCTTCTTGAAGAGAATGTGAAATATTTTCGCAGCTGCTTCCACATCTGCTTTCATTGCCTCTGCTGGAATGTTGTCTGGTCCTGCTGCTTTGCCGCTCTTGATTTGTCTGATGGCTATACTGATCTCCTCAATCGTGGGTGCGCCAATATTAATTGGGAGGTCCGTGGATGCTGCTTCGATGTTGGGTGGGTTCAGTGGAGCTGGTCGATTCAATAGTTCCTTAAAGTGCTCCACCCACCTATTTCGCTGTTCGTCAGTGTTGCTGATTATTTTCCCTTCCTTGCTTTTCACTGGTCGTTCTGGTTTACGATAGTTTCCGGCGAGCTTCTTTGTTGTTTCGTACAATTGTCTCAAGTTTCCTTCTCTTGCAGCCTTTTCCGCCGTCATTGCTAGATCTTCCACATATTTTCGTTTGTCAGCTCTGATGCTCTTCTTCACTTCCCTGTTTGCTTCTGTATACTCGGCTTGCGCCTTAACTTTCTCTGCTCTTGTTCGGCTGACATTCACTGCTGCCTTCTTGTTCCTCCTTTCTTGAATTTTTTCAAGAGTACCAACAGAGATCCATTCCTTGTGATGGTGCTTCTTGCGACCAAGGACCTCCTGACATGTTGAAGTGATTGCCTCCTTAATCCCTTTCCAATTGTTCTCCAATGTTGCTTCCTCTCCATTGAGTAGATCCTGAAAGGCCTGGAACCTATTGGTGAGGGCTATCTTGAATTCGTTGAGTTTTACGGTATCGCTTCTCGGCTCTCTGAGCTAAGATCATGTGTAGACATTGATAGTCAGGACAACCAATAAGGAACAACATTAGAACACGTGACATTGATATATAGGACGACCATAAAATTGACCAATAATTCTCTTAGAATATTGGATGAATATCCTAACAATATTCATCAAGAAAACCATCTTACACCTAATGACAAATTACGAAGACTTTTTACCTGAACCTTATTCAATCGATTATAATTTGTTCATGATATATATTTCAATAAATGGCAAAGAATTAAAAATGACTACTCAATTCCACTATCGCCATTATGATATTTTTCAATGGTGTACTTACAATTTATACACTAGATATTAAATGCAAACTCATGTTACCTGATTGTCAAATTTAACTGAATTCTAATCCACAATATGTGCCTATTGTATGGTTACTCAACATTATAGTGTACATTATTTAAAGAAAACCCGTAGGAACATTCATTGTTGAAAAATGATCAATAATTGGACAAGCATTAGAAAAAGATGGAAAAAAAAGAACACTATTCCATGCAGTTTGAATAATAACACTAGAAACAAATATCATAGAGTATACAATTTGAAAAAAAAAAAACCAACACAACCTACATGTTCATGATAAATATTATCAATTCTACGTTGTTTAACAGGTGATGATGTTGCTAAAGGTTGTTGTTGATCAACATTAATCGATAATTCAATTGTTGTCAGTTGTTGTTGTTCATGTTGTTCAATGGTTTCATTTAACGTATGATATCCACTACTTTGATTTAAATCAGAACAACTATTATTTATATTACTTATATCTGTAAATGATTGTTGATGTTGAACAGTTGCAAGTCCAGAGAATGTTGGAACAAGTGATAATCGTTTTGTGGCTAATTTACCCTAATAATTTAGAAAATGAAAAATCATAAACATTGAAGAAATATGAATGAGATAAGAAAAATTATTGTAATCAATAAACCAATAGAACAAGGTCACAATTAGACAACTACCTTCAAACGAGTATAAACCCTAATTACTTGATCTATGAAGAAATGAATTAACTGGACAGATACGTTAATATGGATTTAGTTGATTTTCTTTTCATTCAATATCCGATGTCAACGTGACTGGAAAGAAAATGATTTCATTGGATGTCACCTCTTTTTGAACTAATCTCCCACTATTTTTTTTTATTTACGCAAACAACAATAAAGATAAGATACTTGAAACCGTTGATTATTTTCGACAACTTTTTAAGGTGATTTAACACCTCTCAATTCTATTATAGACTAATAGTCGTAAAAATTGGCTATATATATGATTGTACAGTTTAAGTAAACAATATTGTAGAAAAGATAATTTTCTTCACTGAATTATCTTTAATTATTCTTCATTAACACAATATATTTTATTCGTCATTTTTATAATACATATTTTTCATACAATATGCAATTGCACTCAGCTAAGCCATAACAAATTAAAGATGAGCTCATCAATGTATCCATACTACACTGTGTAGCCTGGAGATGAAATTCTTAAATACAAGTGTTCACTTCAACCATTTTGCTCATTATTACACGGAAGTAAAATTTTGGAAAAGAATTTCAGTTCATTTTGTAGATGGAGCACAGGCTAAAATTGATCAGTTTACTAAATGAACAAAATAATTATGTGAAATAGCAAGAACTTATTGAATTCTCCATTGAAAAAAAAGGTAAAACTCTTTAAAAAATTACAAATTACTTTCATTACCTCTGTTTCAGCATTTAGCTTAATTAATTCACTCATTGATAGGGAATCACGCCAACTTTTATCATGACGTATAGCCACCACACGAGGAAATCGAAGAGTCATTCCACATGAATACGAATTACTCTGTATTAATTCAGCTCCATGAAGCTGTAATCAAAAAAATTATATTTTATTCCATTTTTAGGTTTAATCAATTTTTGAAAGAGACAGACGATCATTCAGTGCCACAAGTAATAACTTTTTTACTCTCAGAACATTTGAAATCTATAAGTCAAAACTTTGAAAAGAAATTCAAGAATATTTGAAGCCGCTAGTGAGTTAACATTGCAGTTTAGACGAAGGATTTTGTAGGTTGCAGTCATTATAGACCGCTGTTTAGTAATGCTTGTTCATCAGCAGTATCCCCAATGAGATCAGTCGGCAACGAATAAAATTTAAAAATCAAACCATATCTCCATAAAACTCCCTCAACTAAATAAATTAGTCTTTTGCTATATATAGGATTAACAAGCTAAGTGTTTTTGCAGCAAATAAAACTAGTCCTCTCGAATACAGCAAAATTAAAGTGCCATTACAAACATGCTGAATAGAACCTTTTGCATACCCTGGTGACATCCTCTGACGAGGATAGATTCTTGTTAAGTAAGTTTCGTGGATGCCACTGACTCATTATTTCACGTTTAGATTCTTGTGCATCTCTCATAATATATCGCACTAGTAAGCCCAATGAATTATTTATACCAACCAAATATTGTAACAAAGTAAGATGCCTGCAGAAATGTCACTTTAAGTCAAATGATCTTACAACAGTAGTACAAATGACCATAGCTTTTAACCAAATTAAGAGAAAGCATAGGTTAAAAGTCATAAATGAGAAGTTGGTAGCACTTAATGAAGACTCAAAAGTACAAAACTTAATATTCCTTTTCAAAAAACGCATTAGAGTATCTCAAAGTACAGATAGACTGTGCATAATGATATATATATAAAAGACACTAAAGTCATTGCAAACCTTTCCGGTGAACAATAATTAGTATTTAACCAACACTAGTTCGAAAGTCACTTATACGACCAACGATTTCTTCCACTTGTCTGGCAATGAATAAAGCAATTAACTCCTTGAAGGCCTCAAACAGTCATATCTATGTCCTACATTAAATATTTATTTCTATATCATGCTGACCATACACTTGTAAACTGCCTGAATTCTACAATTTTTATTTCTAGGATATTATTACTGTTATTTGACATAAGTACTAAACAATAAAATTTTACCTGAGTACAAACTATTACTTATGCTAATAACTAATAACTGTGATATCAATAGAAATAGAGAATCGTCAAATAGCCAGTTAAAAAGTTTGACAAGAAATTAAAAACAGTCACTAAGATCGAATGCAATGATCCTTAGAAACATTCATATCGATCGGAACCGGATTTGTGATACTCCATTTGACTAGTTCAACTTCGTTACTAGGACGAAAGATATAAATTTACAAAGACAAAGCTTAATGTATTCGAAAAAAAAAATAGCGATTCTCATATACATTAAGCCTCTTCATTCTATACATTACAACAAACGAACCGAACAGAGATTCAAGTATTCAGTACTCAGTGAAAATGAACTTTATATCACTGTTAAATTTATAAATCCAAAGGAAACGAAGTATGAAACGGAGTTGTTGACTGACCTGTAAAACAAGCGATGATCGTGGAGCTATCCATACATCTGGACGTTCAGAATTCACACATAACCATTCTGTACTATTAGAATTAGGATGTTTTTTGTCGTAAACCTTCCAGTGTTTTCCTAACAACCGATTAATTTCTTTTAATTGTTTAACTGTTAGCCCAGATTTAACCTTGTCAAAAAATATATATTAAAATAAATATTGATTGACGGTTAATTTGTGTAACGCTGTCACCCATTACTGACCACTAAAAACATTGACTGTCATGCAATGGAATCGATTAAAAGTGAGGCGACATACAACAAAGCATAGAATAAATCGAAGAGTAATTAGTCAATCAGAAAAAAAAGATAAACTCTACCAAATGTTTCTATATGATCATCATATGTTTGTCAAGTTGACTAAATACAAGCAAGTTATAAGAACTTTTGTTTAACAAATCACGCTTACTGTGCTACTTTTTTTTCATCATTTTCAATAAATAGACAAATATTTAAATCTAGATTACATCAAATTTGTACATTATCACTAAATCGACTATCAGAATGCTATAAATGAAATGGCCTTTTTATAGCAGAGATAAATAATGGCTTGTAGTCTTACACATCAATCGGAAGCTTCACACAACCAATATAATTTAAATTAAAATTCACCCCACTTTACATGCGAGTGGTTATCTGAACTCAGTAGCTAAGTGAATAACGCAATTGCGTTCGAGGAGAATGATGCTAGGTTCGAGTACCAGAGTGAACAAAAACTCTGGAAAGTGGGCACATAGGGCTGATGTTTCCAAAATAGGCCGAGACACGTGTCCTGGACTCTACTGCTCGCCATCATTTATTTATGCTTAGAAATGGTAAATAATAGATTTCAATTGTTAAACAAGGTGTTAAATAGCTTATATATCTGAAAGGAAAGCGTACCTTGCAAAATGTATAAAATCGTGTTAAATTGAAATTCTCTTCTGAAGTAGATTCATGTGATTCATCAGCTCGAACTGCACATAAAAAATGATTAACTCTTGTTATGATCTTATTTCCACGATGTTGAAAATAACCACCAACAATTAAACAGTCTAAATCTTCTAATAAACCTTGTATATAATCTGGTTTAATTTTCCACCAGCCACCATCAGTTCTAATACCAGGTAGGTAAGGTGATGGAGAATTCGCTATTTTCACTATAAGACCTTCTTGATGATTATCCACAAGATGATTAAATGCTCTTGCAACTTCTGTTTGACGTGCTGCAGTAGTATACCATTTAGAAACGTACAAAATACCATTTATAATAGGAATCGGTTTGAAATCTAATGATTCATTACTGTCCATAAATGAGTCAGAATCCAATGATGTTGGGTTCAGATTAAATGCCTCTGATAGAAGATGTTTACGCTCCAGTAAGGACTTCGAAGTTAGTAACTTGAAAGAGTAATAAAAAGTCACCAAATAATGCATAAGTTTGAAAATGCTGTTTAACATGTATCACAGGTAAATAATACTTTATACGAATTAAAGCATGCTGTAGTCAATACAGAGATAGTTATGACTGTATTGAATATTATTTAAATTATACAGATCCATAACAATCCTCTAAGGTCAGAATACTTTGCATAGCATAATCGTTAGAGCCAATCGAATAAATCATATGGAAAAAGGATATTTAGAAATTTCAAGCCAAAGATTTATGAAACAGGACACAAGCGCTTCTTATAAATGTGAAGAATTCCATCATCTAATTTTTTATGGCATGGCGTACAAAGTACACCTAAATCTGTAGCCAGTAGTTTGAGAATCGAGTGAGCATATGAATATGCCATATATATATATATTAATTAAAACTAATGACCTTATAAATAGGAAAGGTCTATTTAAACATTCACTGTTATAATTTTCACACACTTCTTTCTTTGCCCTATACATTCAAAATTGTCTTTTATTAAAGCAGTCACAAACGAACCAGCTACACAGTTGTATACAAAACCTTTAGGTTATGGTTTCAACTTTCAACTATTTGTGAACAATGGAACGGGTAGGTCTCCCAATATATGATAATTATTGTAGTGCTAAAGTCACTGAATATTATTTGTGATTTCTAAAATGATAGTTAGAGCCCTGAATATGTGCAATACTTTTAAAACAGAAGTTATAGTAATACGCTGAACTGTATTTAATAACATAACCTGATGTTATAATCCAATACAGCTCTATATCGTCGTCAATCGACTTATGATAGATCATAAACTAACAGATTACTTAGATGTGAACTACCATGAACACAAACTGAAGGAATTTTGAATTTCAACGAGAATTTCACACAACTTTTCTCTAAGTACACAGCTGTAATGCATAAGTGTTCGTGGACTTGGAAGGAACTAAGTTTCACATAACTCAATGAAAAAGTTATGTACTATTTGTGCAAACTTCTAACTAACTTATTAGAAATTCTAAATCTGTAAAGCATTCAGATTATTACTATTATTACGGTATTTACTGATGAACTTACTTGTGCATTCAAATACAGTATATCGAAGACAATGAAACACGGTTGATAATTGTCGATTTCTGGATTCTGATAGGAACTGCGTTTAACATCGAAATTTGTTGACTTTGACATAACTGAATCTGACCAATTACTATAAATCATCATTTCTCCATCCAATATGCAATCAGTTACATGCTGTGCAAATCCACAGTGTAATCGAGCAGATAATCTGTCAAAATCCTGAGTACCATCTTCACCATAGCTTGCAGTCCATTCTAAACCATTTCTTGACCAATATCTATAGGAATTATTCGATTTATGAAGCTGATTTTAGAAAGAATAGAAAAATATTTGAATTTATTTAACTATGCAGTTTAGATATATTAACGAAAAAAAGCGAGTCAATAATTCAGTCGAAAGTTGGTTTTAATTCAGCGATTGTATTTGTCACAGATCGATCTCAGTTGATGTAGTGACGAAAACCTAAGATAACTTGGCAGTTGCTGCTTCATGCTAGTATGGTACTCCTCAGCAAAGTGGACTTACGACCCCATTAAGGACCGAACTCTCACTATGGACGGTTCACTAAAATGTTCTACTACATTAAAAAAAGATACATTAGATAATTTTCGACAATTCAATATAAAAAGTAAGTTACTGAATGACTCTGTAACATGTTTTCTTAACAAGACTTAGGAAATCACATAAAAAAAATTCTTGAATCAAGACGTGCAAGATCATATTATGTGTAAGTTAACAATACTGTCTGACTGTTGGGATTAAAACAAATTGAGAGTTTACTGGTAGAAATTTCAACGTCTAAATTAATACACCATAACCCCTTAAAAGACACTTCTCTATGCCATTACATTCGAAGTTAGATGAAAGTATACCAATATTAAAATGATATATATATAATTTGCCAATGTATAATACATCTTTTATACACATAGTTCCTTTTATCATCTTGAAGAGAGCAAGAACAAACATTTAAGCAGTTACATTGGCCGAACAGAAAGGAGAGCATTCCTCAGATTTCTGAACATTTTCCTAAACGCCTTCGGAAGAAAGAGAGATTTACTTTTAACAGTGCAATCACTAAACATCTCTTGGATACAGGATATCAGGCTGACATATGCCAATCACCAGTCTTCTGAAATCTGACATTACTTACTTACTTACTTACGCCTGTTACCCCCAATGGAGCATAGGCCGCCCACCAGTTTTCTCCAACCAACTCTGTCCTGGGCTTCCCTCTCCAGTTCTGTCCAATGTTTGTTCATTCCTCTCATATCTTTCTCTATTTCTCGGCGTAGTGTGTTCCTTGGCCTTCCTCTTTTCCTTTTGCCTTCAGGGTTCCATGTGAGGGCTTGTCTAGTGACGCAGTTCGGTGCTTTTCGTAGTGTATGTCCTATCCACTTCCACCGCTTCTTCCTGATTTCCTCTTCCACTGGAATCTGACTTGTTCTCTCCCACAGTTCTTTGTTGCTGATGGTGTCTGGCCAACGAATACGAAGTATTTTGCGTAGACAGCTGTTAATAAACACTTGTATCTTCTGAATGATGGCTTTGGTAGTTCTCCATGTTTCCGCTCCATACAGTAGAACTGTCTTGACATTTGTATTGAAAATCCTGATTTTGGTTTTGTTTGAAAGTTGTTTGGAGTTCCAGATATTTTTCAACTGTAAAAATGCAGCCCTCGCTTTGCCAATCCGCGTCCTCACATCTGCGTCCGATCCACCTTTCTCGTCGATGATGCTGCCAAGATATGTGAAGGTGTTAACGTCCTCCAAGGTATCTCCATCAAGCGTGATTCGGTTGGTGCATGTTGTGTTGCATCGGAGAATTTCGCTTTTTCCTTTATGTATCTTGAGACCTACTGCTGCAGAGGCTGCTGCTACACTGGTCGTCTTCTCTTGCATTTGTTGTTGAGTGTGCGATAGAAGAGCCAGGTCATCTGCGAAGTCCAGATCGTCCAGCTGCGTCCTAACTGTCCAGTTGATACCGTGCTTCCTTCCAGATGTTGACGTCTTCATAATCCAGTCGATGACCAGGAGAAAGAGAAAGGGTGAGAGTAAGCAACCTTGCCTGACACCGGTCTTCACCTCAAAAGAGTCTGTCAGCTGACCTCCGTGCACGATTTTGCAGTTGAATCCATCATAAGAATTCCGTATGATGTTGACTATTTTCTCAGGCACACCGTAGTGTCGAAGAAGCCTCCACAGTGTTTTCCTATCCACGCTATCAAATGCTTTCTCGTAGTCGATGAAGTTGATGTAGAGTGGTGAGTTCCATTCAACTGATTGTTCCACAATGATCCGTAATGTAGCAATTTGGTCAGTACATGATCGATCCTTACGAAATCCGGCCTGTTGATCTCGAAGTTGGACGTCTACGAAGCTCTACGAAGTCCTTCATTCTGTTTAACAATACCCTGTTGAAGACTTTGCCTGGTATTGAAAGAAGAGTGATGCCTCTGTAGTTCTCACACTTGCTGAGATCGCCTTTCTTTGGTATTTTGATGAGGTATCCTTCTTTCCAATCTGATGGTACTTGTTCCTCATCCCAAATCTTCTTAAAGAGAATGTGAAATATTTTCGCAGTTGCTTCCACATCTGCTTTCATTGCCTCTGGAAATCTGACATATGTATCCAAAAACAGATGGTTGTTAATCTTTCTTTATCTTTGTGGTAAATAACCCTTCATTAAATCATTAGATTTTATTCAACGCTTTCCTTTAACCAATTACATCAAGATTTTTTATTTTGACTGTCTTCTAAATTGGCAATCTTAATTAAATGAGCTTTACTCATCTTATTCAGACTTATTATCAGCATTTATAAATTAAATAACCAAATGTTTCTAACCCTTCAGGTGTTTATTATTATTATTATCAATGTTGTAGAATGTTCTTCTGTATGAGCATATATATTTACGATATTTTATTCAGTTTGTTTAAATCATTTACATTCTCGCTATATTATAGCGATGTGTGATTATGCTAACTTCCAACTAAACTCTTTCATGTAAGCAACTTAAATCCAGATCATAATTTTGATTTTAAATATTGCAGGTTGTAAGCAGCTGACGAGAATCAAACAAAATAAAATGAATTCATGTTTGATTTTGCTCAAATCTTTGTTCTCGCTCTCTTCAATAAAACATTTTCACTGGTATTTTAGAACACATAATAAAAGGATATATGATTGCTAACTTGAACCCGTTCTCCATCGAATTTGGTTTCGAAAAGAAGATTTAATCCTTTAGCATCACCTTGGTTCTGTTTACCGTACAAATGTAGTGCGGCGTTAACAAGCATATCACCACTATTAGCGCGCTCGCAAAGCATAGGTCGAAATGGAACAAAAAGAGTGATATTGGTTGAGTTCGTCAAGCTATTAGTATCACCTGTCAATAAAGACATACTAGAAGACGGTATATTTGCAATTCGTTCACACAGCGGGAGAAGATCCTGAAAAAGATAAAAATAACTAAATCAGTGAAAAAATAGTCTATCTTTACAAATAACATGAATATTTGATAACTAAACCATCACATATTACATCTGTCAATATATTGCAATATCATAGTAGGACAGTCAATGAATTTAGTAGAACTTTTAAGTTATGGCCAGATCATAACTAAACAATTATTACAGATTACAAATTTTACTATCTACAAGACCAACTCTCTAACTGAACTCGACATTAACTTGATTCTCAGGAGAGGTTATCGTTTTACAAATAAATATCTAGATTTATACACACTCTGGAGTTAATCACAGAGCATTACAGTGCTAATCAGAATAAAACAGGACTTCATATGCAGAAAGAGAAAATTGCTAACCAATAGTTCATAACGGCAAGACAAGCTAACGAAATATGTCATAGGACAGCATGAACAATCGAGCACTACACTCATTCGTCTAAATAAATAGTTTTCGAATCACTCAACTAATAGACTATATTTTAACTCATCTAAGTAATAATATCCTTAGATTCATAAGATTTAAATGATTCATTGTAAGCTACATTTATCATGATGTACTGTTGACTTCAGCTCCAAACAAGCAAAACAGGGTTCTTTCGTGTTGTGTTAAACTTGGTCAAGCTTAGTTCTAGTTGATAGGACTGCACTATAGCAAAGGAAAACAGAGCACTATACGAAATCGCAAACTTATTAACTGTCAGGTGGCCTTCAAAAATATCATTACATGCCTTATATTGAGTAATTTCCGTTTATTTTGTCTCATATAACGAAGTATTCGAAAATTATTCGGCTCATTGACAAAATACGACAATGACTGTATGGACAGTTGTTTAATAAACATTATAAATTGATAGACCCAATCTCATGAACAATCATTACTCAGCAATAACGTTGTAGCATCCTGTTATTCAGCTTTAATAGTTTGGATTTGCTCGTAACAAGCTAAAACTGTGGTAAATAATAACCTAGCGTATTTTACAATATTATTATTTTCGCATAGAATGCTAAATAATAAAATACGGGAAATAAAGTAATGCTACAAATAGTAACAATGATTTTCATGAACAGTTACGCAGAACACTAACTTGTGTGACTTCGAAAACAGAGACTGCAGCTGGATGAAAACATTTGAGAATACTCTTCGCGCTTAGGCCACAACCAGAATCTCGTTTAACAATAAGACGTATAATCCACTTTTGTTCTAAAGCTGTAGTTAACTGTAATAATGATCGCAATACTTGTAAACGCATATCATATGATTCAGCAGTGGTCAGATCATCTAAATAAGTATTCAGATCCTTTGTTTTGTGAAAAAAAAATTGAGTTGTTAGTTTTTTGCAAGTAAATCGTTTTATAGAATGTTATTAGCAATATAAACACACAAGCTGGGTTTTAATGAAATTAGAAAAATATAGCTTGAGTATTGGAAGTCCCGATCTCTCAGAAAAGTTAACTTTGTTCGATATGACTTGAAACTTTTCTTAACCTGTCAAATAGATTCATTTAATTAACGAAATGAAGGGATTTTTTCTACACAGCACCTGCTTGTCTGGCAAAAGAACACATTTTAACAGAAAGTACATTAGTAAGGATAGAGATAAGGGCTTTGACCAGGTTATCTGAACACATTTAGGGGAATCTATGCCTGAAATCCACTAAAGCCTTCAAAAATGCGATCACTAGGTACCTAATAGACAGTGGGCATAAAGTCAAGACGTAATATTACTAGCATTATTATTATCTATATTTTCAACGTATAAATACAAATTAATTTTAACTATATTTAACCATGTATTAGGTAATCCATTCATTTTTTGTGACTTTTGGTCCCGCTTTAAAAGCACACATCTAAATTTCACTGACTGAAGTATGTCACACTTTCATTAGCAATTATATCATTTTTTGTAATTTTAGGCCCTTTGCAGTTGTTGAGGTCCCCAAACGTGTTCTCGCATTGTGCAAACAACCTAGTTGATCGGTCGACAGAATATTGAAATACAAGCTTAGAGAATTAAAGCTACTGTCACAACTCCCGTTTTGGAACTATAAAACTAATACACCAATCACCATCATTAAATTGTTCACCAAAGAAAATGCCACTTTGGCCTTCCATTTTACTACCTATCCTCTTTAACAAGGATTTGGTACCTATAAACTCAACCATTTTTAAACAAGTTGAAGTAATCATAACTTAGTTTTATTAGATAAGGATTTCGACATTTTAAGTTATCACATTTTATAAGAGAACAAATGGGAAATTCAGCAGATATACAGAGGTAATAAAGTATAAACTACAAGCGCAGAGAAAATTACAAATGAGTTGTTGCATCGCTGACCGTTGAGCAATATCATGTGACAAATACACATCTATCAGAATTAAATTTTAGCGCCAGTAACCTTGAGTCAGCGCTAAATCTTAATCGATCCACAACTCAATAACTTTTTTCTTCCTATCCTACCTATTAGGTCAGAGCTCCATAGCTAGCCCCCGGAAAATCGTTATATTTCAGGCAGACATTTCACCATAGAATGAAAAAATGCAACTAAACATGAGCAGGCCGACATTTGGAAAAAGTGACTGTCTTGAAGTTAATGCCGTCTATTTTAAACCAAACCATCATAATTTATCAACCGTTGATAATTAACCAATATTGAAGAGAGCATCACATTACGTGATAAGACATTGTTCCACATAGATAACATATATTCTTACCAACAAGAGATGTTGCATTATTTAAATCTAATGCAGAAAAAACATTGAAAAAGCCAGATAGCCGATGAAGACACATACTTTTATCTTCGCGCTTACCGAACTATGGAAGGTTTGAGTGCGCAATATTAATAAAGAAACTACTCAAAGCTTTCATTTACAATATATAGATAAATTATTGTGATTCTCGGAATATTACTTTCTAAATTAAATATATATGTACAAAGTATTTACATTGATAAAGGGCTGTACAAAAAGGAGTAGCTGAGTGTTTAACATCAAGTTTTTTCAAATAGGAAGAACAATACCTAATGAACATTTGGTGGTAAACCACGGGAGGAAACCTGTCTTGCATTAAACGAGATAGAAGTCTCTAAGATTGAAATGATTATTTGTTAAATATTCTGTAAAACAAGATAGTCTGACTAAAACTGCTAGTGTTTATCTCAAGAACCTCAGTTGGGTTTGAGACACGTATGGCACATGAGAACATGAAACAATGCCGATAGGGAGAGGGTGTCAAAACATAAACTGAGATGCTGAGAATGGAATACACTTCCATAATTAGTGCATACCTTGAACAGATTACTAGGTTAAAAAATACACAAACCTTGACGGACAAAACGCTGTCCTCGCGACACCGAGTTTTCAGCACTACATAAGCTACATCGGCAAAATCAGTCTGTCGATGGATAGCATTAGGTTGAATATGTGCAAGTTTACGAGCAGCCAGACTGTTTGGTGCAAGTCCAATGGCTTTGATTATTAGCCTTGATAGTGTATGTTCACGTAACCCGAAAGCTTTCCTTAATCTATCATGTGAAGGAATCAGCAAACGTAAAAGTAAGTACAGACTGGCTCGACCACCAGACGGATACTGACTTCTTGAGTCCAATTCAAGATACTGGGTCTCCCACAGAGTTATGAATTTGGATAAAAAATTTTCTTTTGTTTTGATTCCATCGCTTGAGGCTAATTTTTCTAAAAGACGGCAATATGTTGTGAACGAAACATTTTTTGCAATACGTGAGCTTTCCAAAACCACATCCATGTAAAATATCAACTAGTACCAATATAAATAATTATTTAACTGGTTTTAGAAGTAAATGAACCTATGATATATACAAAGCAAAAGAAAAAAGAAGCAACCATTTAGGATGACCAGACAGACATTATACTGAACAAATACTATTAAAACATTAGTAACTATAATGATTCGAAACTCTTCAACGAAAATAAGTTAATAACTGGATACTTAAGGCATCCAAAATGAAACGTTGTTCAAGTTCATAGGCAATCATATTTTAACTATTGAATACCACACAAGTAAAACTATAAGACATCAAAACAGTGGTAGAACTGTATTGTCACGATAAGAATAGTCGATTCTGTCCATACCAAAGGTAACTAAGAGGACTCGTTCAGTATCTCAGAGATGTATGTTGGAACAACAGTGAAAAAATCCAAATAGAGCAGTAGGTTACAGGTTTTCGATCACGGATGTCTTATAAGCATTGCTCGTGTATCCTTGGACAACCTGTGTACGCAATGCTGCCATTAGGAAGCGAGTACTAGGTAAGGATGACAGATCAATTGATGAAGCATTGAAACTTCATCAGTTGAGGTGGTTGGGACATGCGTAACGTATGCCTAACCACCAACTGCCGCGACGAGCTATGCTTTGTGGTGTAGTAGGTTGGAAGAAACCTAGGGGCAGCCAAACCAAAACATGGCACTAATCCATTAAGTCAATGACAAGTGGACTCGGTCATGTTGGTAGATGTAGACTACCTGGTTGGTGTCTGCGGGACGAAAGTCACCGACGGTTACAGACCTTCAATGACATGGTTTAAAATCGTTTGCGATGGCACTGGTGCATCTACTCATTGTCTTCTCTCAAGTTCTAACCTTAATTCGTCATCATCTCTATCTTTCTCTTTCTCAAAGTTATCTCACTGAATTATACTTTTCGAATCATATCTTCGAAATCAAATCTTCTCGATTACTGCTAATACTCCTACTATCGCTATCACTCATGGACTTGGAATGACAGTTGCATCTATGTGCTAATGCGGCATGGCAACCTAACTGATGTAGGATACAAAAAAGTTGTTCAATTACTACAAAAAAAAATCAAAATACCAGTTTTGACGGGATAGGCCTAGTCAAAACCTAGAAAGTATGAATCTCGTGATACTGCCATACAAATTTTTGTAATTTATACAAAAAAATTCAATAAATTGAATTTGATTTAGCATTAATGATTATACATATCAACATATAACACTTGTGAGATCGATCTTTGAAAAGTAAAAACAAGATGTAATAGCCTATTTGTTGTGAGTTTTTTGCTGTTATTGCTTTATCAGTCAAAACAAGATTTGACCTCAAATACCAAGATCGTATCAATAACCCAAACACGTGAAAACTAATTCCCAATGTGATTGGGTAACTCAAACTTAATCGATGTTAAGGTCACAGCACAGTTAAACGATTATTTCAACAACAACGCACGGAGTCAGTTCAAGTTGTGAAACCTCATTGACAAAGAGAGTTGGGATTTCAAATCCCATAGCAGTATAAATATTAGCAGTAATAGTAAATATTGGGGTTAGGAGATATGACTCGAGATGTATTATCCAGTGATGCAAATTTTTTTTAAAAAGCTGCCAAGAGGAATTCAAATGATTGAAATTTGAGAGAAGACAAAGAAACGATTACCCTGGGTAATTACAAACGATTTCGAGCCATACTATTGAGTCAGAAGCTGTCGTTGCATTATATGGTATGAATGAGATGTTGCTGTCTTTCTCAATATCCGTGAGAGTGTGGATAAAAATAGAGTATTCTAAAGGTTCGTAAGTCCTATAAACACCTTAAAGTTAAACTGCTGTTTTCGTCGATAAATTTTTGAAGCAACTTAGCCTGGGGCTACTGCCGGTCCCAATCGCAGATAAAGGAGGGGAGTTGAGAATGGGATTGATGACCCAATCCAGAACGAAACGAACTCCCTAAAATTGCTTACCAGAAAACATTATTGAAACCACTTTAACTCTGCCGTAGGAGTGAGAAGGTCTTCTTGCAGAAGCGTTCATTCTGAAGCGTGTATAACGATTCATGATGAAAGCCAACTTCGATCCAAAGTCATGTGGCCCATGCGCTTTCTCACTATCAGAGCAACTATTATTTTAGGTACTTAAGATGTCCGAACATTGTGGCAGGCCGGAAGACCATTCGAAGTTGCTACAGAAATGAAACGAGGTGCTTGGAATTAGTGTGGCCCATTTGACGCAAGTCGGTCAACTGCGACTAGCTTCAGGACAGCTGCTGTTATGCTCTGGTCATGAAGAAGAAAATGATTCGTATATACTAGGAGTTGCAATGATCCTGTCCAACCAGTCACAAAATATAATGAAAGGATGGGAATCTTATGGACCCAGGATCATCAATCATCCTTCAAAACAAAGACAGAGGGCATTACAAAGAACGCCATGGAATGCTATGCACCTACCAATGACTACAATGAAAACGTTAAAGATCAATTCTACGAAAGGCTGCAGTCAATAGTCGACAGATGCTCACCAAATGATTCGACGATTCTAATGGGAGACCTAAATGTCGAGGTTGGTATGGAAAACACTGGATTTGAAGACATCATGGAATGACATGGACTGGGAGAGCGAAACGAAAACGGTGAGAGATTTGCAAACCTATATGCCTAAACAAACTGGCGGCACAATATTCCCACACAAACGCATACACAAATCTACATGGATTTCACCAGATCACACTACTCAGAACCAAATCCACCATATCTGCATCAATAAAAATTTCGGAAGGACAATGGAGGATGTGAGAACCAAGAGAGGAGCTGACATAGTCTCAGATCACCACTTACTATTCGCCAAAATGAAACTGAAGCTAAAGAAACACTGGATAACGGGGCAGAACACATCACAGAAGTTTAAATCCGGCAAGCTCTACTAATTCAAGATAGCTCGCAGTAATAGGTTTCAAACGTTTCCCGATCTACTCAATGGAAAGGAACTACCGTTGAGAACAACTTAAAGGGGATCAAAGAAGTAATTACTTTACCATGTCATGAAAAAACGAAAATACGTACAAGATCTAGCATTGACGGCGGAAGAGGCTGCAAGAGAATGAAAATCGATATAACAAAGAAACTCGCTAGAAACTATCTTAAACCAGGACGACCAGTGAAAAAAAAGGAAGGCGAATTAATCAGCAACACTGAAGAACAGCGAAACTGGTGAGTAGAGCACTCTGAAGAACTCTTGAATTGACCAGTCTCACTGAACCCGTCCAACATCAGCAGCATCCACTGACCGCCTATCAATGTCGGTCCACGAAAGACTGAAGAGATCAGTACGGCCATCACACAAATCAAGAGAAGCAAAGCAGCATGACCTGAAAACAATCCAGCAGAGGCAATGAGGACGTATGTGGCAGCAAATGCACAAACAGTCCACACATTCTTCAACAAGATTTGATATGGAGAAAGCGTACCAGCAGACTGGAAAGAAGGATACTTTATCAAAATACCAACAAAAGTTGATTTCAGCAAGTGTGAGAACTACAGAGGAATCACTCTCCTCTCAATACAAAGTCTTCAACAGGGTGTTGTCAAGCACAGTGAATGAATTCATAGACGCCTAGCTTCGAGAATGACAGGTTGTATTTCGTAAAGAAAGATCACGTACCGAACAAATTGCAATATTACAGATCACTGTGTAACAGTCAGTTGAATGGAACTCATCACTCTACATCAACTTCGGTGACTACGAAAAGGCATTCGATAGAGTGAACAGGACAACACTATGGAGGCTTCTTCAACACTGCGGCGTGCCTGGGAAGATAGTCAGCATCATACGGAATTCTTATGATGGATTCAACTGCAAAATCGTGCACGGAGGTCAGCTGACAGACTCTTTCGAGGTGAAGATCGGTGTCAGTCAACGTTGCTTACTATCACCTTTTCTCTTTTTCATGGTGACCTCCTGGATTATGAAGACGTCAACAACTGGGGCGAAGCATGGTATGTAATGAACAGCTAGGACGCAGCTGAACGGTTTGGAATTCACAGATCATCTGACTCTTATATCGCACACGCTACAACACATGGAAGAGAAGACGACCAGCGTATCAGTCTCAGCACACAGAAAGGAAAAAACAAGATTCTCCGATACAACACATGCTAAGAATAAATCACTCTTGATGGAGATTCTTTGGAGGGCGTTGATACCTTTACATATCTTGGCAGCATGGGGCGGAAACATTGAAAACAAGTCATCATCCACACGTTGCACGTGTTTATTAACAGTTGTCCATGCAAAATAGTTCGGATCAGTTGGTCAGACACTACCAGCAATAACCTACTGTGGGAGAGAACAAACCAGATTCCAGTGGAGGAGGAAATCAGAAAAACCCGTGGAAGTGGATAGGACATACATTGTGGGAAGCACCCAACTGAGTCATAAGACGAGCCCTCACTTGGGACCCACAAATAGAAAGGAAAAGTGGAAAGCCAAGGAAGACATTACACTCATATGTGGAGGCGGGCATGAGAAGAATGAACAAAAGTTGGACAGAACTATTAAGGGAGACCCAGGAGAGAGTAGACTGGAGAATAGTGGTCGGCGGATTAAGCTATGCTGAGGGTAACAGGAGAAATTAGGTAAGCATTCAGTCCAGATCCCTAGGTATAATCATCATTCATGTTTATGAGTGATGGTGAAAGTATTGGGTAAAATCCGAAAGGCGACAGCACAGATTAGTTCTGGATACGCGAAATAGTAATCCTGAGTAGCAGCAGTCTGTAAGAAACAAATTGAGAGCGCGCTGTTTTTGTCCTTATTCGAACCTTGAGGGTGTTCGAGTTCACACCTCAATTAAATTGGTTGATTGTAGTTTACTCGCATGATTATGGCTACATTATTGTTCTCCATGAACCCATTGTCTACTCCTTGTGGAGCGCTGATCTATATATTCTGATATCCTTGCTCCTTTACAAGGGGGTGTATGTGTGGATACATCGACTAGCAATACTATGATACTACCTCCTACTGTTATTGTTGGTTGACTGTATTACATTTATATATATATATACTTATTCAACAAAAACTAGCTATATTCTCTTGCTTACTTCGAAGACAAAACAATGGTCCTTATAATTCAAATATGTGTACACACTTTTGGTTAACTCATAACCAACCACCTAATAAAACAAACATGTGATCTGACCATTTTATCCAACGGAACATATACAGCAATGTTGATTCGCACTACTTTAAGTCTCCTAATCTAGCTTGTTAGTAAGTTCTTTAAATTTTTTTGTAAACAAATGTAAACAATACGATAAATACTTCTTAATATTTCTTAAGAATTACAAATAAATAAATACTAACTAGTTGTTAGCACACATTAATCATAAAATACAAAACTATAATATAATACAAATGACTCGAATGGTATTAAGACAAACAAAATGCAGAAAGTTAATATGACTTAAAATTTTTTATTCTTTTGTATTCATTTATTAAAAAGGGATAAAAATAAGAGATGATTATACATAGACCGGCATCATTAGTAATTGCTGTTAAATTACTTATACTGACTAATGAAATATAATAAAATGTAGAAAAATATTTTCAATTTTAATTAAGCACATTGATAAATCATGATAGATCTGTCATCTCCTACAGATATAATATTATTTCCTTGTGGACTATAACGAGCGCACCATACCTGTGTAAAAATTTAAACAAGGAAAATAAGATAAATTCAATTAATTACATAAATAATAATTTTATGAATTGTAAAAGAAGAAGTAAAAGATAAATACAATTTAATAAGCAGTCTTATATATTGTTTAACGTTTATAGTAGTATGGTGGCCGATTTTGTTGACGTCAGGATCACCATTTGTAGTGCACTGGCGAGCGAATGCGCGGGAGAATGAACGAAGCAGCGGATAAAGCGTACGAAACGACGTGAATTGGAGAAGGCTAATCGGCCAACTCCTTGGATTACAATGCGAACGAATAGGCGAAGCGCGTTGAAGAATGGCCAACGAGCCAACTCAAAGAGATAGAGCATGACTAAGAATATATAGTCAGACAAATATAAGACAGACATGCACCAAGCGAAATAGGCACACATGACTAAAAGCGACGAATAGTTGACAAGGTCAAATGACAAATGAGACACGTCATGTGAGCTCATACAAACCAGACAATAATAAGGACGAATAGTACATATAAATTGTTGCAATACAAATGTCTCGGTTAAATAAATTAATCGAAAGGGCTTAACCAAGTTAGATGTAAGCGAAAACGGAATATATGTGGAGGCACTACAGTATCAAGTATACTACAATATTTTATACGAATTAGTTTTTTCTTCTAACAATATGAAAACGATATCGATGTTTACCGCATTAGTCTTCAGGAAACTGTCAATGTGATAGGAAGCTTTATGAAAGTAGTGCATAGATAAAAAAAATAAATGAGATAATCGCTCCTGAACTAATTGAACTGTAAGGAAAACACTGAATATTTTTCAATAACAAATTGATTTATCTAAAAAAAAATAACTGATATATGCATTGGAACAGTAAGATACATGAGATAGTCAATATTTCCGAACTAATAGATAAATATTTACTTGTAAGTGTAGTGTAATAGTAAATTGACTTTTTTTTTAAATAAATGTTTAATTTAATGCAGAATAAGCTGTAAAACCGAGTAAGTTCACAGCTTGTAAATTAATGAATGAATTAGTTAAAAATGTTAGTGTTTGCCAATATGCTGATATAAAAACATTAGAATATGCATAATAATACCAAGTTGTGACGAAAAGATAGATCAGAAAGGTATGAATAAAAGAATAGTGGAACTGAGGATTGAGAGGAAAATAACGAGTAAATCCATCTGCGTCAATGTACCCTATTTCTGAGCCACATCACACCCTGTATCCGATCATTGAACGCAGTTATCGCAAGTACGCGCCTTGCTGATGAGTGTCAACTAGCCTGAAACTTAGGATCACGGTCGCGTATTGACTAAATCCAACCACCTGAATTCACAAAAAGATGCTGTACGTGATGTTGAATTAGTGTGACTCATAGCTACATCCCAACTTGATCGGTACACATCAATCAGCACTAAGGGCCCAACAAATATGATAATAGCCAATACTCAGCGATCGTTTGATTTAAACACATATGAGTGTTTATATTTGACAATTTAATGAGTTATATTGGATATAATTAATATATATTGCCCGTTTTATTATATGAACTTTGAATTGCATCAATGCATCACAGTAATTAAAATACATGTTTAGTTTAAGTCAGTCTGAAGGTATAAGTACAATTGATTTTCAAATCTCAATTTACCTTAGTAGCAATACAATAGCAAACTAAATAAACCAGATTTACCTGATCTTCGTGTGTATTAAAACAATGTTTCTCTTCTTTTGATATGAGATCCCAAATTCGAACAGAACAATCGGTGGATGCTGTGACAAGATGCCGATTATCTGAAGCAAAGTCGACTGATACAACCCATCCTTTATGACCATTTAAACTAGGGATAACAAGTCGACCATCACGTCTAAAAAGAATTAACAGATAACAGGGATTTTATGTAAAAGGACCAAACACTTAAACAGACTACACTGTGTAGATAATCAAATACAAATAATATGTATTTTGTTGTTTGAATCTACAAGAAAATTAATCTTCTGCTAATAATGGTTTAATAGAAACAAGTCTTATAACGATATTATATTATACAGACTAAAAATATGGTCAATAATAGTTGGAATTTGAAAAGCATACAACTATTTCATGTCCACTTGATAAGATTCAATTTACTGGTCGTTGTAAAAAGAATATTAGCATTTTAAGTGTTATTCTCATACTTGAATATGCTAATCCCAATGTATGACATTGCGGATAGTATTAACTATGACAAGTGGACGAAAAATGCAACGTTTTATAAGCAACTGGATCATAAGCTAAAAAGTCTACAATACTAAATCAGACTTCGGTAACTGTGTATTACTGTTAGTACTTTGACACGTCTAGTTATCCATTATATAAATAAATTCAGACCCTTGAATTGTCAAAATTCTATCGCTTGAATTGTTGTCACTATAGTGTTATGTAGTAATTTTATAGATTTTTTGATTGGCAAAATGAAAAAGAAGGCTAATTCGGTGGATAAAATGCAATGATGCAATGTGGTTAAGTGATGGCTGGTCGAGTGACCGAATTAATGATAAACACACTTAAATGATTTGAGTTAAAAAAAAAAAAACATAACCGTTTACCAGAGGAAAAGAGTTCTTTCCAAAAAAATCACATGTTAACATGCAAAAGGTTAGCGAATACGATCAGTTTACTGAGACGGCTAAATCACACACAGAAGCTGAGACTTCAGCTTATTTGGAAATTATTTGTTAGCTTATATTCCAAAATGTAATTAAAGGGATACCATTAGGTTTCAAACTTTACATTTTTTAAATTCACTCAGAATTAGGAGGGCAATATTCATGTCCTATCCAGAGTGAAATTGCACCATGGACAACTGGCAAGGAATTGAAAGTCAGATAATTAATTAGCGTAACCTCAAATGTTTATAAACCTGGTCTCTTAATATAATAACCATGCCTTTTTCAGTGATACTTTTACTAACAATTATTTCGAGTCTCCTGAATAAGCCTAATTAACTTTTTAATTGTTATTTACCCGTGACGTCACTCCTATCTATTTAAGCTGTCACAATGTGTACACAGACAAAATTGATTTGTATTTAAGCTTCAGTTGCTTTTCATATTGCTCACAGTGAATAGGAATGCACAACCATGAAACAGTGACACATAACTGACGGTAACCATGTCAATGTTTAAATATTTTTAGCGATGATATGCTATGATGTCTGTAAATATCGTTAAACTTCTAAAAAAAGAATTATATGAATAGTTGAATTAGGTAGCTTAAAACGCATGACTAACAGATATCCAATGTTCTAAGCTGTTTAGTTAGATTAGGCCCAAAAAAACTTGCTGCCTCAAAATAATGAAAACAAGTTATGAACTTTGCAATTTACAACCAGTCATCTGGTAATGAATGGACTTATAAACCAAACAGTATGCCGAAAAATTCAGTACTATAAACAAATCAAACAAAGATACAACAGATTTTACAAGGAATTTAGAGTAAATATAATGCTAAGCAATAGTTGAAAAAAAAATCCTTTATGAACAGATAACTTACGCATCAAAAACTTTAACTTGTTTATCATCAGATGCAGAAGCTAACAGACGTCCATCAGGTGAAAATGCAACTGATCGTACCGGTGTAGCATGTCCGTCTAAAAATTGAACATTGCCTGTCTCTAAGTCACATATACTGACCAATCCATTGATAGTTCCTGCAGCTAGTTTAGATCCATCAGAGATCTTGTTTATATGTAACGAAATAAGTGAAATATTTGTTATCAGTTTGTAATTAAAATGAAGCTATATGGTACTATGATAATACCATAAATTAAAAAAGATAATCTATTAACAACTATGAAAAGAGAAAAATATTGTCAAAAATAGAGATTCCCATTGTGAAAATTAGAACACAAGTTAAGCGAACAATATTGTTTTCCATTAGATCGTCATCACGCTTCATTCTAATAATACATGAATATTTACGCATGAAAATGTTAAACCAATCAAGGCAATCTAGGATGAGTCAATTATCACAATGAAATGAAATAGATTACGTCACTACACTACTCAGTAATCAATATTTTTAAAACACTAGCAACAAAAAGAATTAGAAATGGTCAGCGATCTATGAATTCAAGAAATACATTGTAATTTATGTTTAAGATTTACATGGTTCAAATCTAAATTAAATGAAACCGTTCACCTCCAGTACTCTGTAGACGTAACAAAATGAACCAACTCTTTTTTTTATAATGCATAGATTTTAAGTGTAGCATCTGAAACAGTCTTTGAAGTCTAGCATACAACATACAAGATAACCATAAGTAAACACTAAGCTTAAGCGTAGTGAGGGAAGTCACTCACAGTAGTTAATTTCTAAAGGTTTAAATACTCGAAGTTTACTCAAATAATGCACGAAAGCGAGTTGAATTTTAAAAAGGCGAAAGATTTATCCGCGAATGAGGAAACACATGGCAGAAATCCATGAAGTCAGTGACAAGTGGACTGAGTCATGTTGGTAAATGTAGGCTATCTGGTTGGGGTCCGCGAGACGAAAGTCACCAATGGTTAGAGACCTTGAACGACATGGCTCAGAATCGTTTGCAATGGCGCAGGTGCATTCTCTCTTTGTGTGCTTTTTAATTCTAACCTTCTGAATTCCTCATAATCTCTATCTTTCTCCTTCTAAATTTTTCTCACTGAGTCATACTTTTTGAATCATATCTTTGCTCCCTAATCTTCTCCATTGCTGTTAATAATTCCACTATCGCTATCACTCTTGGATTTGAATTGACAGTTACGTCTCTGTGCTGACGTAGTATGTCAACGTGA